CCAGCAGATGATTCTCGTACAAATAAAAATGATGAAGGTAACACTCATTGCAAATCCAATAACAGTAGCAACGAAATTTGTCCCTGAACCCATCATCTCTTCCCCTCTCTCCCACCTTCCCAACTGATTTTCTCCCCACCTCCAATCCCAATAATGATTCTCTCCAAAGTCTCACTCAATACAGCTGCTTGTTAAGTGGACTGCTTTTTTTTTATTATGTATTGAAGACCCGAAAAAGAAGAAGATAAAATCCAAGGGAAATCGGAACTTAAAGAAGAGGAGAAAGGAGCCAGCAGCAAGTTCTTCAAACCAGAAGAAGACAAACAGAGAGAGGAACTGAGAAGAGAACCCACATGCGCTAAAACCCAAGAAAACCGTGACGGAAGACAAAGAAGCCAAGACCCCCAGAAAAGGGATTCCTCAGAAATGTGGTAAAGTTTGCGACTTTAGCCCAGAAATGATTTCAGTGCTGAAACATCGGGAGCTTTGGCGGGGGAACAGTGAGCTTCCAGCTACACCCAGAGGGAATCGTCCCCGTCGCTTTGGAACTACTCAAAGTTCAGAATAATCAACAGTTAAGGAAGAAAGGGGGCAGGAAGCCAATGGATAACGGAGCAGAAAAGAAAGTAACGAAATCCATAAGGAGGAGAGAGTAGGGATCCGTCGATTTCATTCGGCAAAAAACCAAAAAAGAAAAAGACGGCATTGGTTTTTGGTCCTACTCTCTGATATTTTCCCCTTTCTCAATAAGAGGCCTAAAAGAAAAACAAAAACAAAAAGGAAGTGGGGTTCGATTGTTCTTTGATCTTCTTATGACGGAAATACATCACAGGAATAGAGAAAATCTGATTATAGTGGGCAAAATCAAAGAGAAAGGAGACAGGTTGGTTTTGTTGCAGCTTGGAGAGGGAGGAACAAATGCTATGGAAATGGGTCCATGGTCAAAACAGAGCCGACAGGACAAGATACATGGATCAAAATGTTAAGGTTTTTGGACCATAGGAAGCTGCAAAAAAAATTCCCAGCTGGGTAATAATGGAGGGAGATGGTTCTGAAAGATTCCAGTGTTGTTGGGTTAGCAGCTGGCTGCTCTGAAAACACAATATGAAGAGAGCAACTGTTCTTCAACAGCCTTTGGCTGGTTTGGATGTTTTTGGGAAATGGATAAGAGGGCTTCGGACTTCCTGGGAAAGAAAGATATTTCTTTGCCTTTTCCATTGGTTCCAATTATTGGTGGGTTTCTTGCCGTTTCTGGGTTGGCATGATCAGTTTGACATTACTCTTCATGAAGTTCAGTTCAACAACCACAGATGAAGACCAAGATAAAAGGGGTTTACTATCCTCACAAGCAACTCAAGTGTGTAAAATGGTAGGGGACACTTCATTGCTTGATTTCTTCACCTCGATTCTAACTTCAGTTGTCCGTCTGTCTTCCACTAAATTGACAGCTCTGGTTGGCTGAAAACTTGGGACTGAGAAAGAAAGATTTAAGGTTTGGTCATTATAGATTGTGGGAAACCTGTTGCTTGAGCCTTAGGGGTTTGACGAATGATGATTGTTTTTTTGTTGATTATGGCAAGTGGTGGATCTAGAAATTTGAGGTAAGGTATCCTCCCTCAATAATTTAATTTAAAAATAAATAATTATTAAATATAAAAATATCCGACTAGTATCAATTACAATAAAAGTTCAGACGTGTTTCGTATTATAAAAAATAGTAAAATACATCCGGTGTCTACACTACTCAACAAATCTCTCTCGATATATCCTACTAGACAAGAGTAGCCCGTAATTGGGGTTAATCTATAGGTTTTAAAAATAATTGGGGATAAGAATAGTCTTTTACTCTTATCTTTGGATCTAAAACACAACAACAAATGAGTTTTTATCTATTAAAAAATAATTTACTATTAGTAGTAGTCTTCCCAAGTTCAAATCACATAGATTATCACTTAAATATTATTTGTACCTTTATGCAAACTACTACAGGAAGTTGGATAATCATTTTCCCAAATTTTAGGGGTATCTCAACCTTCATGTATCCGCCACTGCATGTCCACTTCATCAAATGGACGAAAACAATGCAATTTGGCTATAGATAGAGAACCTCAACCCACCGTATTTACTTTTTATTGCATTGTTATTCGAGCATAAGCAGTTAGTTTCAAAGCAGGTGTCATCCAAAACCCCATGGAATACGACCGTCGATATACATAGGATTATTGTTTTGGTTCATACTACAACATCATCAAGTTTTTGGCGCCATTGTCGGAGATTTTTTATAATATTTGAAAGAACCTAAAATCTCGGATCTGATGCTTTCAAAAAGTATTACAATCTACTTTGTTTTTTGTTGCAGAACTCGAACCTACAAGGAAGAGGGTGCTGCAAATCATACAAGGATGCACTACCAGAAGCTTACAACTCAATCTTTGGAAGGAATACAAGGAGAGATGCCCTATTTAGAAGGAGCAATGGATGGAGAAGGTTGTAGTATTGAAGAATACACAGTAATCCAAACTTTCATGGATTCATGTGAATAGCTAGGATGAAGGAATCACACCAATTAAAGGCTTCTATCATTTTCTTCATCTTCATCAATCTGCATCCATAAAGTAGCCTACCTATCGGCGCATCCTCAACCATGGAAGATGTCTAAAAGGGAGTGGTTGAGTTTGATGATCCACCTAAACCTATTAGACAAGGTTTAACATAACCCTTGGAAAACCTAAACGTTGAAAAAGTGAACTTAGAGGCAGAGACTTCACCCAAGGATAACCAAACTAAAGAGAAGCATAAATATGAGGAGCCTCCAGGGAGCAACCACATAAACCTATCCCGTCAAAGAAGGAGCCTCGAGAGGAGCCACCACCAGAGATGTGGAGGATCAAACCAACATGGTGTCCAACCAAGGAAAGGAACATGATGCGAGCAATCTTCCCTCCTCAATGATAGAACCTGGCAAAACTCCATATATTGATGCTTTGCGTCAATTCATAGGAGACCCAAGCATTGGAATTGATGGATCTCTTCATGGCCCCCTTACATCCCCTTCTCAAAGTTTAATGAAGCCATTTGGAGATACCCCTATGAAGTACACAAGGCACAATCAAAGTGTGGATTGAAAGGTGGATGGTGGAGACTAAGGTGGTATTGGTCCACCATCGAGCCAAACAAGGAAGAAGGATGTCATACAACTGGAGTTTTTACTTCTGAAGTTTGAATTCAAGGAAGCCCTTAGTTGGGAAGTTTAAAGAGCTTGGAGTTATGCCTAACTCAAAGCCATAAAAGAAGGAGAGTTTCATGGGAGGCAAACTATGTCTGGCATAAAACTTAGGACGTAAAAGGAAAATGCTACCGAGGAGACAACCCGGGAATCTCGACTATCGTCATCTGCATCACACTCTTCTCTCACTACACATCCCCTAGGCATTCAAAACTTCTCGGTAAGTACCCACTACTCCTAGATTGATTCAAGAGGCATTGATTTCGTTTGAACTGGAATTTTATAATTCTACTTGTGTCAAACAAATTCAAATTTTACCAATGACATGTTGTTCGGAAAATTTGATGGATTATCTGAAGTGATGTATTATGTGCTAGAAACCTTTAAAAATTGTATTTGCATTTTAGTTTAAAAGGTATTTTATATCAAGTTGCACACTAATCTACTATGCATAATTCATTTATGCTTTAGGTCATTCATCTCTTTTGGCTCATCATATTTGCTACCCTATCATGCTCTACTTCTAGGATATTATCTCGATGATATTAAATGCATAAAGTGTGTGGTGAACCCAAAATTTGAATTATTTTCTAAGAGATGCCTACATAAAGATAGTTGTGAGACAAATTGATGAATGGTTTTTTTCGTATTTATTTTAAGGAGGAAAAGGATTTGCTCTCTCTCGGTTTTGTTACTTTTATCGTTTTTATTTTCAATCTCATGGAGAAATAAAAGGAAAGATGAAGAAAGGAGCACAACGGTCTAATGACCGAAGTATCCTACAAGGAAAAGGAGATCAAATCCGAAAAGGAGAGAGAGAAAGCCAAGGAGGTCAGACCCACCATGCTACGGCCGCCGAAAAAGTTTCATGCCACCCCAATTTTTCCTTGTCCTTCTCAGAAAGGAACTCTAATGAGGTTGTCTCCAAGAAGAAAAAGGGTGGCGGCTTATGCAACCCCCTCTTATTTGTCTCTCACGTCTACTCACAAGAACAACACCAAATTTTTGTAGCACAACTTGTTGGAGCCTTTGCTAAGAAGATTTGCAAGAAGAAGTTGTGAAGACCCATCCTTGTGAGATGGTGGAGAACAAAGAAGGAGCATACAATCAAGGAAGGAAAAGGAAGGCCGACACCCTAAAAGAAGAGAGGGTGACTCTTAGGAGACCATTGATGCCTACTTCTGCCCACGTGATGTCGACATCTCTTGCCATGAAGAAGGACAAAGACGATGACATACCCTTGGCAGAGAGGAAGGCCATCTTTGAAGAAGCCACTCACTATCCCAAACCATTCATTATCTTATAGAACCCATAGGAGAAGAACAGAGTGTCATGCCACAGCTGAAAAAGATCACTACTTTGAAGAATTCAAACGAGAAACTTAAGCTAGTTCTGCGTGAGTATAAAAAGATCAAGCAGAAGGAGACAACCATCAAAGGTACAACATGACTGTCCATATCTTGACGAAAAATACCCTTTTTTCGTTGGCTCAACATCTTATTAATCAACGCGATTTACTTTTTTAGTTCAATCCGTTTAGATCCTGTATATATTCGTATCTACACATTCTGTTGCGCAATATCAGGCAGAAACCTATGACTACAAGCTATAACAAAGAGGAAGGTTTATGATATTATGTTCTTGAATCTTGACTTAATAAAAATGTCTAGGATTGTAAATTATTAGGTTGCATAAAAGGACTGACTGAGGTTGGTAGTTTTTAGTTTCAAGGTACCGAAGTGGTACTTTATCGAAAAGGAAGAGGAATGAAGTCAAATAGTCAATTGAATCATACGCCATTCGCCAACGCCACAGCGGCGGCAGCGGCAGAAAGTTTCGAGTCGACACTCGACAGGCAGACAGATTCCCAAACAAACAACACGCAAATATTCCAGAGACGCCCTCACCTTCCGCCGGCCGCCGCGAGAGGAAGTCAGTCGCCGGTTAAGTACGAAGGGGGCCACGGAACGCAAAAGAGAAGGCCGCTCTGTCCGCCTCCACACATTCCTTGTGCTCATAAACATAAGGCAGGAGAATGGATGAGATGACGGCAGCAGATGCAACACCACCGCCGCCGGCGCCGCCGTTGCCGAACCTCGTAACATCCTTAGAGCAAGCGACGCTGTTGGCAAAGCAGCTCCCTTCCACGTCCGACCCAGGTCAACTACAACATATCTACTCAGCCCTCCACCTCGCCCAACACCATCTCTCTTCCTTCCTCCTTTCCCACTCCCGACTGCCCCTGTCGCCACCGCAGGCGGAGGAGAACTCCGTCTCCTCCGCCACGGGAGCTGGTGAAGACAACGGGAGCGAGCCGATGCAGGTTGGGGAGGAGGAAGGCAATTCCATGCCTGCTGCAATCGACAAGGTGGAGGAGAGGTTGAGAGAGTGTTTCATCAAGAACAAGAGGCCTAAGCGGCCGCTCTCACCATCTGCCGCGGCCATGGCGGAGGAGCGGAGGTTGGGCGAGGATGGGTATGCTGCCGGAAGAATCAAGGGTTATGACCCTCTAGGGACCCGATTGAGAGCTTTGGACCTCATCGATCAGTTCCACGCCTGAAAAGACCAGAAATACAGACAGACTGTTCTTCATTCTGAAAGAGATTTCAATGAACATGCTCTCTCTGAATTTGCTGTATACACTATAAAATTCGAAGTTCAATGATCCCTGCCCGCTCTAAGTAAGTTAACTGCTTGCTTCTCAAATCCCATGTCTGTCGTTGCTTTCTTCTTTGTAATGCTGTAATGACATGAGTGAGATAGATGCATTCAACATTTGGAATCTGCCACCGTTCTTGCCCAGTGTTATTATACGTTAGACATCCTGCAGTGTCGGTCGCGAGTGTTTTCAGTTTATTGCAGCTCTAGCCTCTATGGCCTCACTAGCAAGTTATGCAGCTTCACAAAATCATCCAACGTTAGTTCCTCTGGTCTTGACTGCACAAGGATGATAAATTTTTTCAAAAAACAAGAGAAACCATAATAGGCTAAACAAGACTCGAAACAACAACTGTAGCCAGTGGCAGGGGCAGTTTACTTACAGTAGCTGGTAGACCAGTATGCTGAAGAGCCGTTTCGATCTCCAGGGGGGTGCATATGTGCTGAAGTGTATTCCTTAACATCTTCCTTTTCCCATTGAACGCAGAATTCACCTAATTTTCCATCCCCAAAAATCAATGTCTCTCAGTTTTTGTTGTGAACTATGAAACGGCAAAGAGACAGAGTAATCGCAGGTTAGAGGATAAATCTATTACCAATGAGAAGAAACTTTTGGTGGAACAAACTGCTGGATAATCTGCACTTTTTTTCAGCTTAAAGGTGACCACTGCTGCATCAACCTGGTGATGAAATTTGATCATCACGTGAAACAATGTGCCTTGAAAACTTGTTTTTCTTGTGATCTGACTGATGTGAATTCGAAATAGAGAAACTCGGTAACTTACATTCGGCTGAGGGAAGAAACTGGACCTTGGGACATCAAATTTGTACTCAGGATCTGAAAATGCGGAATGGATCAGATGGGGTTGGGGCAGTAATAACTAAATGGGAAATTGAAGTCCTTCAGCATTATTTGCCTGAGTAGAAGTTGACGAAGAGATTGATGGGTCGATATTCAGATGTTCGTGCTGATGAGCCAACCAGCCGCACTGCTGTTTCTTCCTGAAAACATACTATCAATCCTCGTCAAACAGTGCACTGATTTCCACATATCGATAACACTATGATCAGCAAAAAAGATACAGAGGAAAAAACCCACAAGTCCTATGAAACCACAGACAAACCATCAAGAGAAGAAAACATGGAGGGATTTGTTACCGGCCTGCAGCAAAAGAACAACTTCCGAGAAGATGTCGCCCATGGGAAGCAGCTGCTTTACTACATCCTTGCTTATGTTGAACGGTATGTTAGAAACCACCTAGAGAATATCCCAATAGAAAAAGCAATGAGAAAAGCATAGCTGATCATCTGATGAGGTTATACGAAACCTCAAAGATTGTAAAAGGAACCCTATTCGTCTAAAGAAACAAAGCTATGATCACTCTTCAAGAAAGGATCCTAGATAAACCAAACCATAAAAGGAGGGGATTCTTTCTTACTTTTGCAAATCTGGGCTTGGCACCTGAATCCCTTAAACTTTCTAGGAGCAGGGAAATGTGGGAACCAATGTGACACTTGACGAAATCCTCTTCCACAACCTAGGCAAGAGGGAATGAAAGGAATAAAGCTCTAATAGTAAGTTACCATCTCAATTCTGAAGGTGACTCTCACCTTTAAGCGTCCAGTATCAGCAAATCTTTCTTCAACCAGAGCAGCCATGTAAGGATCCTGTGCACAGCCAAAAATATCGCACGAGGTAAGAACAAAATGGACACAGCTGGTTTGAGCTAAAGGATAAGGGGAGGCAACACGGAGTTACTTTCTCAACGGCCAGGACGGTGGCGCCGGAGGAAATGAGAACGTTAGTCAAAGAACCAGTCCCAGGTCCAATTTCCAGAACCACATCCCCTTCCCCCACATTAGCCGCACCAGCTAGTTGGTCGTTAATTTCAGAGTTCAACATGTAATGCTGCAAAAATAACATTCAATTACGCCTACTAACTGTTCGAAGAAATGCCCCGCAGAGAAGCCAGCGAATTTCTGCGTCTAACTGGAAAAAAAAATTTCGAATAGCCGAGCTAAAGGCCGAACAGACCTGGCCAAGTGACTTCCTTGGTTTGCGGCCTCTGGAATTTAGAGCTCTAAGAGTGGCGTGATAATCATCCGGGCTCTTTTGTGAAGCGCGAGCGCATTTCACGTTTGCCCTCTTGCTCCCCACGCTGTCGGTGCCATTATCGTGCGGAGATAGCCAGGGCCTCGGCCGCGGGACTCTACGCCGGAGCTCCGGCAGAAAAGGTTGAAGAATTGGTTGCAGAGACGACGGCAGATGAGGCGCCCAGCTGCTCATTTCTTGCTTTTTCCTCGGACTGCTGCGATGCAATGCAATGCAATTCGCGGGGAACTCTCCGGCTGAATATTATCTAAACAAAAAGAACCTAAACAGTTAACACCAATAAGCTCTCTCAACTTGCCACGTGTTGTCAAACTAGTTTAAGTTTTTTTTTTTTTTTTGACAATTCATCTGTATTCAAAATCAAACTTCAGTGACTACATTGCTTTCTTTAGAAAGTATAGTGACCAGACAGATAGGGGGCCTATCTATCCACACTTCAGTCTCTTCTGCTCTTCCTCTCAATCGTGCCATCACATGAGCACCTTCATTTCCTTCTCTTCTCCCAAATCTCCATCCAGCCACATCATTCGCCCCAGCCAAATCTCGAATTTCATCGCAAATCATCGCCACCTCCGTATCAGTCGTTTCCCTGCAATTCAATTTCTGGATTAGGGTTTGACAATCCGATTCCAGCAGCATCGATTGGGTTTGGTGAGTTCTTGCCAGCTGCAATCCCCATAGCATTGCCTTCGCCTCCGCCAATTCTACTGGCCATCGCACCTTGGTCCGGTGAGTCGCCCCCAAGATAAAATTTCCATTCCAATCTCTCAGTACCATGCCATAACCTGTTCCTTCTTCTCCCAGAATCGCCGCGTCGGTGTTCAGCTTTAGGATCCCCGCCGGTGGAGGCTCCCACTTTGCCCTGGTTCGATCTCGCGGTGCTTGAATTCCGATGTTGTTCCTTCCTTGGTTCTCTGCATATTCTTCAAGGTAATTCTGAGCTCTACCCACTATCTCCCACTCCTCTAATTTAGGGTTATTGAAGAAATGGTTGTTTCGTTCCTTCCATAGGAACCAAAGTGCGATTAGGACTTTGGTTAGTTCTTCTCTGCTTGTTGCCTCGAGTAAATCACACAACCAAGTTTCACAGTTCTTTCGCTCTCCCATCTGGAAAAATTATGCCAAATTGCTAGGTCTCCATACCCTTCCTGCCCAATCGCATTCTCTTGTGATATGCTCTTGCGTTTCCAATAAGCCACAGAAAGGGCATTCATCGAATGCATCCTTGATTCTTCTGCTTAGGTTTTCTCCTGTTGGGAGGATGTTACTCCCCCATCTCCATACAAAAATGCGAACCTTCGGCGACAATTCCAGCATCCATAGATGCTTCCAATCTACTGGTACATAGGCTTCAACTTGACCTGCACTATGAGCCTTTCTCCATTCCTTGTAGCCTGACCTGACTGTGTATTTACCAGTCTTTTCCTTTCCCCAAATCTGTACATCAGGTCTAGGTTGAGGGGGTATGGGTATCTGTTCGATTCGAGACCTGTCATTTGGTTGGAAATTGTTTTGCAAAAGGTTGCTTTTCCATGACCTAGTCTCCCAATCAATAAGACTTGATACCCTTTCTGTTATTCCTAGCCCCGTTGCCTGAGATTGAATTTTGTAATTTGGTGACTCTGGAATCCAACGATCCCACCAGATGCGAATATCTTCTCCACTTCCCACCCTCCACCTTGTCCCTTCTCTCACTAGGGATTGAGCTTGCATTAGGCTTCTCCAAATGTAGCTGGGATTTGATCCCACTGTTGCCTCTAGAACATCACAGTGAGGGTAGTATCAAGCTTTTAGGACCCTTGCCACAAGTGACTCAGGTTTCTTTAGAAGGTTCCAGACCTGTTTTCCCAGTAAGGCTATGTTAAAACCTTGTAAGTCTCTGAATCCCATCCCACCCTCAAACTTAGGGCGACATAATTTCTCCCAACTCATCCAGTGTATTCTTCTTTCCTCCATTTTCCTTCCCCACCAAAAGCTTGCAATCATTCTTTGGATTTCTTGTATGACACTTTGAGGGACTTTGAAAACTGACATGGCGTATAAGGTTTGTGCTTGTGCCACTGCCTTGATTAGCACCTCTTTGGCTGTCATTGATAACAACTTCCCTTTCCACATCTTAATTTTATCTCTAACACGATCAATTAGCTGTGAAAATACAGCTTTCTTGGCTCTGCCAATCACTGTATACGTTTTCAAAATACATATACAAATAAAATATTATAATTTAAAATTTTAATAACTGAAATGAAATTTATCTTACATATAAGTTATGATAACTTAAACTAGTTTGACCTCGTGACCCATTCAAGAATACATATAAGCTACATAACCTCATGACCCATTCAAGAAATTTGAACCAAGGCAATCAGTTCATTATCTTATATAATATATATCAATCTATCATTTTAATATTTGACTTAACCCGTTGGTAAGTGGATTAAAACATTTGGAGATTTTCTTAGTGAAGATATTTTATCACTATGAAATCCTAGTTCTTGGTTCTCTAACCCGTTGGCACGTGCCAAGCTTGTTTTGTCAAGATGGCCATATTGGAATCTGTTAAACTACCGAAACCCCAAGCATGCCTCCGCCTTGGGGGAGCATAAGATTTCCTTCCTCCACCAATGAAGACTATTTTTTTGCATTGGTCCCGACCAAAAGAAATTGATGAGTAGAGAATTCATATTTTTTATATAAAGGTGATATAAAATTTTGTTTTTATTATAAGGTGCTATTTGAGGGATGCGAACTTGGAACCTCCAGTTTCAAGAATAGTGGTACTACCACTAAACCAAGTTTTTGTTCGCGAACAAATAATCCATCTTCTTTATGAGGAAAATTGAGAGGAGAAGCAGACACATGATATAGGAAGGGATAGGCCTGGATCACCAATTTAAGTATGATCTCCTTTCCTTTGTGGGAAAGATGTAGACTCCTCCGTTCTTCACCCAATCTTTTTTCAAAAGGCATCTTTTTTCATTATGGCATTTTGGTACCTAAACTTTTCAAAATTTACAAAATGATCCAAGCTTTGAATGTCATTTGGATTTATTGATCAATCCACCAATCCATATGATCCTTGGATCCACCAATGCATTTTGTCAAATTCTAATTTAACATAAGATTGAAAAGAAAATGGAAAAGAGGCTTGCACAAGATTTCAATTTTAGTTGCAAATAGATAACCCAACCACAATACTAACAATGCCATTCCAGCAATATAGTTCTTAGAGTTCTGACTAGTATATAGCCCCTCTTTCACGGTCAATTTACTGGCTGATCATCTAGAAGGAAGTCTTCAACTGAAGCTAACAATATTTGCTCCAGTTCAGAGTCTTCCGCAGGTTGTTGAGCCTGCTGCTGTGGCTGCAGATATTGCTGCCGAAGCTGCAATGAGTTCTCGGGCATTGTTGAGCCCAGAGATACGCTGTTCAACCCAGGTCGAGGGGATATTATCTGACTTGACGGATCCACTTGAGCAGTAAGATGGTGGGAGCCGAAGGAACATCCCAAGATGGGCGTACTTCTTGTATTGTTGTGAAATGTTGGTGTTTTGCATGTTGATGCTGCTGCTGCTATCCTTGTCAAGGACACCGGGGAAGAAGACAAACTTCTTCCCTCCAGTAGGCGGAAATGTGGCGAAGCAGCGTTGTTACCTCGAAGCACTGCCATTTCGAGCTCCTCACGCAGTCTCGTTAAAGAGAGACGGTGCTTCTGCAGAAAATTTTCGCGTCAGTTCTCAAACTGCATATGTTTTTTTTATAAAAGGCTGTTCTGGAAGTTAGAAATTTCTTTTGGAGATGATAACCTAAACCTGTAAATGGCTTGAGATATTGGCTTTGCTCAGCTCTGGCACTTTCATGTACTCAAGTATCTTCTTTGGTCTGGCATCTACAAGTCGAGTTGGCTCAGCTGCCTAGTAAAACAACATAGAAATGACAATTTCAGAGTATATATGTAGGAAGTGAAGTCTTACGATCAACTCCTAGTAGATTGACGGCACGTAGGAACTTGGCATGTAGCTCTGGGGTCCAGATAATCTTAGACTTCTTTGGCTGTGGCATACAATAATCTTTACAATCATTGCTGCTTTCAGTCCATTCCGCCTCTTTTCTCTTGCACTCTCTGGTATTATTCTCATAGAGAGGCATCTCTGGACACTTACTCGTTCCTCTTCCAAGCTTCTTCAGGGAGTTTTGTCTCGTCATAAAAGAGAACTGCCACAGGTTTTTGATGTCTTGCATAATGACAGGTTTGGGAATGTAAAATGCAGCACCTTTGAATAGGCAGCCTAGCATCACATTCTCACTGATGTCGGAGGACAATACTACAAGATTGCAGGAGCCACAAATGTTCAGTTTTAAATCATATGCCTGAGAAAAAGAAAAAAAAATGAAACAAATAAAAATAGATGATGGGACATCGATGGGCTATTCATTCACTAACCCACAACTGGCAATGTAGATATTTCCCTTATCGTCTCCAGAAGCTCATATTTGCCCATGTCAGGCAAGTACAACTCTGTAAGGACCAGATCAATTTCACCTTGTCTGTGCCGCAGGATGTAGAGTGCCTCCTTGGCTAACTTAGCAGTTGTAACTGCGAAGTAAAAAGCAGTACTTGGAAGTTGGAACTCAACATTAAGATGCCAGAGTCACACAAGTGTTTAGAGATTACCAACAGGGAAAAAACTCTAAACACAAAATATCACAAATATCATCACCACGTGGAAATGTTAGACGCAACTTTGGCTTTGCTTGGTGGTATTATAACTGCAAGAGAGAGTGGCAGAGTGAATTCTGGATGTGTGAATTCGAAGTCCCAATTTTGAGACTTCAATTTGATAACAATCAATCAGATAAAAAAGAACTAATGTAGCTGACAGAAGAAAGAAACTAACTTTGCACAAAGTCATGATGGAATACCTGTATAGCCAGAGGCACGAAGCATTTTGGAGAGAATCGTCGAACACACAGAATCGCAATCTAGTAACAAGATGCTGACACCTAAGGAATAATCCTCAGCAGTTTCATTAGTTTCAGTTGAAAAATCATTCTCATAGATCATGATCGTTGTAATAAAAATTACAAAATTGGGGGGGAAATATGATTGGTTCAAGCGGATACTGGTTTGCAAACAGAGTCCCTTATACTGAGAGAAGAAAATAGATGCTTGCTCCTTTAGATGCCGATACCCAAGATCTTTCAAGATCTTTCAACGAGGATAGACAGTCTGCAGGAACAATTTCCTGCCAAGAGAGAGTGAAGGTTGATTTCAGAGTAGAATATCACTGGAATAGACCACCGGGCCAGAATAGCAAGAATGAATCAACAATCAGCAGGTAAGCAGACCCACTCCATACCTCGTACTCTTCACACAGTTTTTTTTTATCAAGTCTAGCACTTTTGGTCTAAGAGTAAGCTATTCAACTACCCCATCTTAACAAATACTTCGTGTAAGACCTAAATTAACAGAGTCAAAGTCAAAGCATAATTAACATTCAAAGTCTTAAACATGACTGCCATAAAAAGCAGACTGGAAAGAGACCAGGTCATCCACACAAGAATATTTGACAGTGTACCATAGTTAGCGCTTATACTTACGAAACATAACTGGCTAGAATTCAGCATTGTTTACACTTGAAGCAGAGGTACTACTTTGCTATGACCAGCCTTCATAGTCAGACACCTACACATGGAAAATCAGGAATCAGATGGGATTGGTTTACATAAGATTACTGATGATTTCAAATCCGAGAGGCAATGGCACCGAATCTCAATATCTGTTCAAAGTAACCCCATTCCAACTTGTACTTCATTTTCCTTGACTATAGAATAGCACACCATAGCCAGCCTGTAAAAAACATTAGGTAAAAATGTTGTCTTGTTAGTTACACATGATCCGTTCTTTCAAAACTTGTAAGAGCACAGGAAAGCTATTACCTTGCTACAATATCTAGATCTCTGTCGGTACATTGTGAAGAAGCAGTGTCAAGTTCTGATGAGCTAATCATCTGTTATTCACTATTGAAGCACTGAAGGAGAAAGATACTGCCCATTGCAAAGGAAAGGCATGTAGTGATTGAGTATATGGCTTTAAATTGCACTAGTAGACCAAACTTTGAAGTATTTATAAATTACAAAAGGACCAACTACACTTTACACCACGGAGAAGGCTACTCTACTCCACTGCTCACAAAAAGCCCCTTAAGCTACTCTAGAGTCAGATGAAATGTTAATGCTCAGCTTATCTACATCGAGAAATGTCATTCTGAGACTAAAAGTTAAAAGCAGCTTTACATTACAACTTTTCATATCCTACTTAAACAGAAGGCGGCGTCTAACTGACTTTGGAAGAGGTGATGTGGAGGTGTTCTTGATTTCCTTGTCATGACTTTCAGAACGATTGGCTGTGTCTCCTTGATTAGCAGAAACTTGCATTTTGCTGGACCGATAAAATTCAGTAATAGAAAGTTGGACACCTCTCGACTTCAGGTTTTCTGACTTATTACCGGATCCTCCTGTTCTAGAACGCTTTCTCTTGGATTCTTTAAGTTCCTGCCATTTGTCAGTAGAAAACAACACATTAAGAAGAATTGAAAGCATCCAGATACAACAAATCGTACGATCCAAAGACCTAACAACTTGGTTGTTATTCTTTACTACATGGCCTGATTACAATGTTAACTTATTGAACTCAAAACAATAATATGACCCTATTTCAGAGACAAGTGGATATACGTGTGCAAAAGTACCCCAAATAAGAGGTTATTGATGCAATTCCCATCCTGATTCTTTACATTCTATTTATAATTCATAAATGTACCCTGCCTTTATTAAACCTTGCAAGCATCCAGAGCCAGTGGTTGACTCTCAGAAAGTGACGGTACAAAATTAGAGTAACATTAATGAATAAATTTCCAATTGGCTTGGAACAGAGATTGGTGAAAGAATCAAACCTTTTCCAATAAGAATTTACTAACTTCGCCGGGAAATGCACCACGGACAAGTTCCATATGTTCATCTGTCAGGACAAACTGACCCTCATTATCAACATGAACCCCAGTTTCTTCCCATTCTTCCGAGTCATCAGAACTCTCATCAACAATCTCCACAATCTTTTTTTGGTCTTTATCATCAACAAGACACAAATTGCGGCCACTGCCAATTGAGCTTCCTCCTCTCCTCCACTTCACAACCAAAGCTTTGTGTCCGTACCTGATCTTTATGCGCTGAATTGAATCAAATTCATATTGCCCATTCAACATAGAATTCTTCTCTGTCTGTTGTGCCATTTCTCTCAGGTAGATGGTGGACAGCATAGGAAGCAACCTCTGTCTGATATAAGAGGGTTCCCAATGCTGTCGAAACACCAAAAGGTCAACCAACATGTCAGTTTCAGGCTGCTGCCATGAAATACAGGAACCACCATCTGGTTTACACAAAAGAAAAAGGAATATCCAAGATTACAGCATTATTCAAGCTATGACTTGGTAGTTTACATCTACATTTCACATCAAGGAAAGGTAACCAAAGTTTCATAAGCTATGGAAAAAGCATAATTCTTATCCTACTTAAGGAACCGAAGCAGGGTGCCTGACTGCCTGCTAGAACACAGGCCAGAGAAAGCAACATGAAATGATAAAACTCTACATAGTCCAGAGAATCATACTCAAAAAGTTTTGTTACATCTTTTTAGTGTCAGTTTAACACTATGATGACAGAAATGAAGGAGAATAACAATATTTTTTTGACCAGAAGGTTTACCAGTGATGTTTCCGTTATCATTGCACAAATACATCTCAATTATTTCATCGTTTGGGAAATTCTGCTCCCTGGCTATCTTCTCACATACTTTCGTGTACCAGTTTTCATGCCTTTTCAGCTGCCTTGCCTCTCTCTCCTGCCAAGTCAAAGTTCACAAGTGATTCTCCAGCCCACTAGGATTTGATGCACATTAGATAGCCTAAAAAAACATGAGATGATAAAGCAACGTGAATGGAATGGTCTAACATACTCTATCACAGCTAGTGCATTTGCACCTAAATCCATTCAGCTTTTTCGTGCAGCCATCCCCGCCACTGGGATGACAATCCTGACAAGATGACTTTGAATGTGCTCTCTTGCTGCCAGGATGGCCACAAACTGAGCAGTGAGCAGGTCTGGACTTTGGTGAGCTGTCATCTGCAAGAAGCATGGGACTGCCAACGACTTTTGGACCACCCTGAGGAAAAGGAGCCTTCCCACTGCCAATATCATGCAATCTACAGAGTAAAAGAAGCTATGCATAAGGCACTCTATCAAATAACACAAAATGTGGAAGTTACCTCGGAAGGACTAAAACATATATGGCATTTGGTAGTGGCCAGAATCTTACTTATCTAATATCTCTTCTTCACCAAAACTTTGAACAAACCGAAGAGCATTATCAATTCCAATCCCTTGAACTCCTCTAAGATCGTGGTCATTTCCAACCAAGAGAGAAATGGCTATTAAATGTTCCCTCTTTAACCCAAGACCAGCTTCAATATCTGACATACGATAACACTCAAATGGCTCCTGCACAAAGATTCCAATATTACTTAGTTTTCTAGCTGCTGCGTAGAATTGTTTGTCATATACATAAAAACTCCAAAAAAGAGAGAAATTACTAAAACTCACTTTAGAATTGGGTTTGACGGATTTAATCACGCACTTAGCACCAAAGAGAAAAGCATCACTATCAGCAGTGATACAAGCATCTACATGACCCTCCCGATTCAGCTGGGCACACAACGCTTCAGCCTCGCCCTTGGCTCGAAGAACCGGCATCCCGAAGAGTTCAAGCAATTCCTAGAGAAAATCCGAAAGTTCCATTTTATAAGCAAGATAGAAGATAAAAGGGGAAGCAGTTAAAAGAAAATGAAAGTTAGAAGAGCTCACAATGCACTCTCGAACACACTTCAAAAACGCCCCGTTTCTCTCCACGGAGACACCTTCTTCAGCCACAGGCCAACGGGCAGCATCAATTCCCGAGCATCTGAAGAATCGAGCTATCCTCGCCTGAGACTTCAACGGCGAAGGAGTCCCATCGGCAACAAACACCGGGAAAGCGCCGAACTGCAATGTACCCACAATTTTCAATCGAAAATGAGAAACACCCATCTAAAGAATATGCTCCCGTGGGGGAAAAAGGGGGGAAAGGAAAGAGGAGAGAGACCTTGGAGAAGAGGTTGAGGGTCCGGAAGAAAGTAAGGCGGAGGTGAGGGTTGAGGACGTAGGTCTTGATGGCGGTCTCGTTTTGGACGATCCAGTAAGAAAGATCGACAGCGACCCGTTTGTCCCTCAGGAAATCAGGGTCTTCGTGCCTGGCGTAGGGCTTTAGCAAGTCCCAGAATTTGCCTCCGACGCCCATTTTCCAAACCCTCACTTCTCTGGTTTACTCTTCTTCACAGTTGGGAAAAAGAAGCAGCGGAGTGATGGAGAAGATTCTGATTTTCCCTATTTTACCGTTACCTGCCGCCGGGTCCGTGCGCAGGAAGACGAAGAGGAAGAAGTTCCGTCATCACGGTTTCCTAGGCCGCGTAATTCGTATTAACATATGGGCCCTTATATAGACGGCCTTACTAAGTGGTTGGGCTCCCCAGATCAAGTGGGCCCTTTTAGCTATTTTCCATTTAATGGGCCTCTGTAGGACTGATAAATGTATGATTATGATTTAATTAATTTATTAGCAACAAAGGTCGATATGTCCGAGTGGTTAAGGAGACAGACTTGAAATCTGTTGGGCTACGCCCGCGCAGGTTCGAACCCTGCTGTCGACGATTATCCATTTTTTATGGTTTTTTTACACTCTGTCCTTTCTTCTGGCCACGCTTCTCAGTTTGCGCAGTATAGACACTATAGAGTAATCAAGCAAAGACTCACAGTCACCACTAGCAAACAACACAAAGCAGCAGTGGGTAATTCTGACTGCGGTCTGCTTGCCTCAATTCAGCTGCTCCCAGCCCACAAGAAATGGAAGCCATACTAATAGTATTATACTGAAATGAAAATGAAAAAACAGAACGAAAAAAAGAGGAAAGATGCCTCCCACTTGGTCCGGATTTCGTACCACCACCAATCTTCATGCATAACTCATCTTCTGATCCATCCAGGAAAATCAACACAGAAAGGATTTTGTCACCGGATCCGTATCTTTTGATTATGTTTCCCCCATACCCCATTGCTACAGCTCTCTCTCCCCCGCCTTAACTTGCTGCTACAACTCCTCTCATTACCCATCAACTAAAACCTGCCCATTTGATCTCTTCATGTTTCAGGTAGATCCTCCAAATCCTTAAACCTAGCTCAGCAGATCCATCTTCCTGCTCAATCGATATCACCGAGCACCAAATATGAATGAAGTATCTTAACCCAAATGGGGAAATCTCCATCCAACTTTATTATAAACCCACTTGCATGCGGCTACAGAGCCAGACCAGCACAGAGACAAAGACTTATGTATTCTGCTCATGAACAAGCTAGCTAGTCGTGATCTTGCACTAATGCAATCAGCAAAGATTTAGTAGTAGTAGCCATTAACTTAGATGCATTCTAAGTCAAAAGCAGTCACACGACATACCCTTCAAAACCCAGTACGTACTAACTCAACCGCCCGCACTGTCCATAACATATATTTTATTGCCTTCTTGTCTCCCCGTGTCCCTTCCTCTTAATCAGCAAAACATTTGTCCTGTTCTGGCATCCCAGAGGAGAGAACCATCCTCGACACTTCTTCTTCTCCTAACCTACTGTTCCTTTGCCTTCATGCTAGTAAAAAAACTCACTACTCTCCTACCCGCACGAGCTACTTACCTGGAGATCCCAAATCGAAGTTACCTCCCTCTTTCTTCTCCCCGACCCATTTCTCCCTTTATAAATCCCCTCTTCCCCACTCCACTACACTTCACTGAGTTCCTCCATCAAACACCAAGTAACTTCAATACTTCATTTCCCTCATACATCCATCAAAACCCTTTTGAGCTGACCTCAATCTTTCCCACGAACCCAGATTGCCTCTTCCACAACATGGGTTGTTCCGAGGACTATAACCCGGGTTCTAGGGGCAAGCATTTTGTCAAACACTTGACCTGCAGGAAGCAATTTTCACTAGCCAATGAGGGCAGACGCCCTCCAACACTGCTCAAAGATTTCCTACTCGAGGATTCCATCACCTGCGCCTCCTCTTCGGGGTTCAAATCTCTCCCCAGGAAACAGCCCGACGGACCTAAAAAGATGCTCACACCTCAAACATCCAAATCGACCGTCTCGGCGCTTCGCGCCATGATCAATGCCGTCAAGAGCATCCAATTCGTGAAAAATCCTCCCTCAATTCTTCCCCGAAGCCTCTCCCGCAGGCTGCTGTCCAGGAAAACCAGCAGCAGCACGAAACAGGACAGTTTCCAGTTCGCGTCGGTGAGAATTGCCGTCACGGTCAAAGACATCATACGGTGGAAATCTTTCCGCGACCTGCAGCAGGAGGAAGAGGAAGCGCGCGAATTAAGTACTCCTCACTGCTCCATCGACGACACAACGGAGACGGCGTCGAGCAGCGGCAGCAAGGGATCGAGCTGGTGCGACAGCGATTTCAGCTCCGAGTGGTGGTGGCAGGGTGAATCGGGGGATTTCAGTGGTAAGAAGTTGGGCAACTTCTCACCGGGTGTCGGCGGCGGGAATTTTGCGGAAGAGACAGCAGGGGAAAACGCCAAATGGGCCGAAGGAGTGGGCCAGCCTGCGGTGAGGCCCATTCTGCTATTATTATTATTATTATTATTATTATTATTATTATTATATTCTAGTAGTATCGTATTAATTAATTATTATATGGTACATCCGCATCTTTGATTAATTTTGGTGTGTCTGTCGGTGAGATTTTACTGTTTTCTTATAATTTATAATCGCACGGTGGAGGTTTGTCGTGTAGCTGGGTGCTCTTTAGTTGACCTTTTCAAATCGGGCCCAGCTGTGTAAATGTCATTTTTTTACTGTATGTAAGTTGTAATTTGTTCAGTTAATTAATCCCGAAATTAATTTCACTAAACAGGAACCAGCAAGTGACGATGACGTCACCTGGATTGCATCCGCCGACGATCGAAGTGAAACCACCAGCAGCAGCAGCCCAGAAGAAGATCACAAGACCGAGGACGCCACATCTGCTGCAAGTTATGAAGAAGAAGAGGGAATTTTCCACAAGGCGTGGCAATTGCTGGATCGCGTCCGCGCTGGCAGTGGGAAGCACTGGCGGTCTCATGAAGAGCAACTGCTGTTGGATTTCTTCATGGACGAATTAATGGCGATGGGCAGCAGAGATAACAAGGCGTGGAAGCAAGATGGCGGGAAAATTGCGATTATTAACGGTGGTGCAGAAAAAGAAGAGGAGGAGGAGGAGGAGATGGTGATCGCCAAAGCGAGGGCTTGGATTGATGAGGATAGAGGAGAGGTGATTAATTGGATGAATGAATCAGTTGTTGGAAGCAAGAAGAGGGATGCTTGCATTCAGGCCATGGACAAGGAAGGAAATTGGAGCAAATTGGGAAGAGGAGGAGAAGGAAAGGAAGTGGGCTTGGGGATTGAGGATGGGCTTTTCGATGATTTGATTAATGGGCTGGTGGCCGATATCTTAATAATGCTATAGTGTGAAGGGTACTAGTTAGCACTTAGCAACACTTGGCAGCATTCACTAGGTGGATAAGGTTGTAAATTTTAGTGGATTTCGGGCTTTGGTTTTGGGCTAGGAGATATGTGGGCTATGAGAGATGTGAGGTGGAGCCTTGAGATTTAAGTAGACAGTTGGAATGGGGGTGTGGACTGTGGAGAGTGGGTTGGGCATATTTTTCGGTTGTTCGATCGGTTTCGTAATTCGAAATCTGGTACGGTATATGAGAGATTCTAATTATCGAATTTTGTCTATTTCTCTTCTGAATTCCGATCCGATTATTTGAGTTCCGTCAATTCGCTTTTGGTTTGGTTCGGTTAAAAAAAAAATCAAACCTGAATCGGATGCCCACCACTACGTGAAGGGAGGAGGATGCGATTTTCTTCTCGACAAAGGATGGAGGCGAGAGGACACCCCACTATCCCCCGCCTCGAATACCTGCTGAGGGTGTGCAATTTGCTTTTAGGGTGTGGATAGAACGAGAGGAACTGCAGGCTAATAAGAGAGCAGCGGTATCAACAGTAGTTCGAGCAAAAGAGGGAGAAGAATATTTAGGTGATGAATGCGAAGAGCAGCTTATTCCTCGTTCTTCTTCGATGCGATCAGTCGTTGCTTAGAAAATCGTTGCTTCATTATATGAATAATATGTGACAATATTTTTTATATTATATGAAGAATATGGGAATGGTTGGTCAAGTTGATTTGAAAGTGGTATTGGAGTTGAGGTATGAATGTATTGAGGGGGAACGAGTATGGTTTTATACTCTCCCGCTCTATACTCATACCAGCCGCACCAAGTGAAGTTCTTTATATAAAAAAATATTTGGATTTTGGATTGAGAATAGTCAATTCTAATCATACTCTTTTAGAGCTACGTATAGGAGCCGCCAATGCTGTCAAAATCGTGCTTTAAAACTTAAAAGCTTACGCTTTAACCTGTTTGGGTCACCAAAACGCTTTTATGTAGAATCGTGGTTTTCCCTTACAAATGTAGTAAAAATCTACACTTTAAGACTTAAAAGTTTACGATTTTACACTTCTAGGTCATCGTACCACTTCTAGGTAGAATTGCGCTTTTGACTGCATTGGGAGCCGCTATCCTCCTCCGAGTCCTCCCAAACCTAGTCATTGGACTTCCCTAACCTAACTGCTGGAAACTGCCATGTCACCACAAAGACTTAATAGGAATTAGGACGGGGCGAATTGAGCGAAACAGATGTACATCCGGCCGCAGGGGATAAAAGCCAAGCCGAAATATTATTTTATTTTTCTGGGAGTCTCATCAAAGTTCGTTTTCCCGGAAAAAAACGTCCATAGAAAATCTCGCCTAATTGAAGGCAAACAAGGTTAGGCACTGCACTCATTCAGCTCCCTTCCTCCTTCACTCGCCCAGCAATAAGTAGCACAGAGAGCGGCAGAGAGACGGTCTCCCAACTTAAACCCCCAAATTACCAATTCAGTCGTCCCTTCTTTCCACCATTTCTTACGCTTACTCTTTAATGACAGAGGAGAAGGCATGGATGGTTAACGTAATCTAGCCGATGCCCGTTTCCCCATGTAAAGTCAAATTCCGCTGGCCGAGTTGCCCATCATCGTCCCCTCTGCTCTTTCTTAGCCCCTCCCACCTTCTTGTTATTCGTTATTCCTTCCGTTCATTCTGCGAGTTCTTGGGGAAATCACAGAGAGAGAGAAAAGATGAAGAATGAACAGCAGGCTCGGTCTCTGTTCGGGATTTCCCTCACCGACCTACCCAGATGGAAGCAGTTTCTGATTTGCTCCTCTGGGTTTTTCTTCGGCTACCTTGTCAATGGCATCTGCGAGGTACTCTCTCTGCCTTCATTCTCTTTTGTATTCTTGTGTTTACTTTACAGGCCCTTGTTCATGCTCTGTTTTTTCTTATGGGTGGAGTTTCCCCCTTGCTGGGTTTCTTAATCATCACCCAATCTGTGAACCCTTCTCTGATTATTAGTTCCCCCAGAGATCAGGCCGGGTTTGTTTGGAATTTCGATTTCATTTTCAGCATTTTGGTTCAATTCAACCCCAGAACTTTAGAATCGGAGAGGAGTCTTCGAAAATGGCTGTGCATTACTGATTTCCTGTCGTCTTCTGAGGGTACTAGTGAGATGAGATTTTTGCTCTGGTGACGTGGCTTCCCCCCCGGATAATTGTTAGTCGGTTCCTTGATTCGGGACCATAACAACATCCAAATCCTTCGCTTCCTCTTCCCTTCCTTTATGAATAACTGACCGGATTAGCTGACGTCGTTTTTTTTTTTTTTTTTTTGGATTCAACTGCAGGAATATGTGTACAACAGGCTCCAGTTTAGGTGAGCGCTAGTGAAATTCTTTACTGCTATACTTAATATTTGGCTGGGTTCTCATAAATTTTCCTGCTCTTTCCAGCTACGGATGGTACTTCACATTTATCCAGAGCTCCGTGTATGTTGTCATGATATACATCCAAGGCTTCACGCCCAAACAAATGGTGAACCCATGGAAGACTTATGTGAAGCTCTCTGCTGTCCTCATGGGCTCCCATGGACTCACCAAGGGATCTCTCGCCTTCCTCAATTACCCTGCACAGATCATGTTCAAGTCCACCAAGGTACACACTTCAGAGAAATCCTCTAACGGAATAAAGAGAAAGACGACAGACGAATCTGAAGATGTTTTTTTTTCTTTTTGGGTTGGGTGGGTGCTCTTTTTCTGCAGGTCCTGCCAGTGATGGTGATGGGTGCATTCATACCGGGTCTGAGAAGGAAATACCCAGCCCATGAGTACATATCTGCACTGCTTTTGGTGGTGGGGCTGATCCTCTTCACCTTGGCGGACGCCAGAACGTCTCCAAACTTCAGCGTGGTTGGCGTCGTCATGATCTCTGGCGCCTTGGTCATGGATTCCTTTCTTGGGAACTTGCAGGAAGCCATCTTCACCATGAATCCTGAAACCACCCAGGTAAAGAGAAAACAAAAGGGGAATCAAAAGGGTCTCACTGACACTTATGTTTGTCGTTTACCTCCACTGCGAATTTCAGCGTGGAGGGTTTTTAGTTTTTACGTTACTGATACTTTGCTTGCAACTTTTTTTCTCGTTCCTTTTTTCGGCCATTGTTTGCTGCAGATGGAGATGTTGTTCTGCTCGAGCATAGTGGGCTTGCCTTTCTTGATCCCTCCCATGCTTTTGACAGGAGAACTCTTCAGAGCATGGACCTCGTGTTCGCAGGTGCAACCTTATCATTTTTTGCTTATTGGCCGTTTTCCTTTTTTCCTTAACTTAAGTTAAACTCACTGTACTCTAACTTGTATGTATGTGTGTTCTTTGTTTCTTTTTGGGAGAGCAGCACCCATACGTGTACGGAGTGTTGGTGTTTGAAGCCATGGCAACATTTATTGGGCAAGTCTCAGTGCTATCCCTCATTGCCCTCTTCGGTGCTGCCACCACAGCCATGGTACGCTCCTCCTCCTCCTTCACCACCACTGTTAAATGTTAATGTTCCTTCACTTGACTTGACAGTGCCCACATTCAATGTCTCTGTTTTCACTCTGTACTTTGCTGGAACAAAGTCACATAACATCACAAGATTGATTGGCTTTGTTTGAATGGATGAGGGGGAGCCTTAGCCTGAGCCTAGCTCATTGAATGATTTGTGCCCAACTTTTCTTTGTTCTTTAATTCGACTGCCAGGTAACAACGGCGAGGAAAGCGGTGACTTTACTGCTGTCCTACTTGATATTCACCAAGCCATTAACAGAGCAGCATGGGACTGGGCTCCTCTTAATTGCCATGGGGATTACTATTAAGCTGCTGCCGGATCAGGGTCCTAATCCGAATTACAAGAGGATTTCTTCTTCTTCTTCTTCTCGGACTTCAACTGGTGGAGAAACCAGAATTGAGATGCAGGAAGAGAAAGATGGCGGTGTAGAGACGAGGCCTTTGGTTTAAGACTCGAGATGGGGAAAAAATGGAAATTGTCTATTTAATAAGCGCTTTCTGATTATAGGGGAAATTTCAACTGAATATTACTTAGTTGGCTATAAGGTTTTTTCTTTTTTAATTTCATTGGCAAATGTATCAATCCAGTTAATCGCTAATTCCACCATCTTAGCTTACTCCCTTAATCGATCATTCCTTGCAAATTGGATTTAGAGTGAGAGGGATCTGTAATATTACTTTAGTAGTTATCTCATCTTTAATATAAAGTTGATCTATTATGAAATTCATGAGTTATAGAAAGAATATGAATGTTACATTTGTTTGGAGACCTCAAGCTTCTTGGTAAGGTCGATGTATTACAACCTTGTCACAATAAAATTCCATGGTGTTCCTGACTTTCCTTAAAAGGCTGTTGGGAGACCTCAGTTCATACCAAAGTCAGATGCTTTGTATGGCTTGTGTTCCATAACATAATCGATGGAACATTGTGAGCAGATGTGTGTTGTGTGAAAAAGACACGGTGAGCACGAATCGTATATTTAGAATTTACTATTCAGTAGCAGAATTTGAAACATTTTTTGTGCAAAGTGTTGGCTGTCCAAGATCCTCTTCCGGAGAGAATGGAAGTTTTGCTACGCCGTTGTTCATGTGGACAACCTTCTACTTGGGAAGGTTGGTTTATCAATTGTTTGATCCATGCATTTACAAGGGAAGTGTTGCTAAGTTACTTCCTCTTAGAACCTCTTTTCTTAAGTGGAGTTGGTGATTTGGATTCAGAAGAATCAGAAGTACCATTCTAATACACACTACTTTGGGCAAGCAAGCCTTCTAAGTTCAATCATATTTTTCTAGTCTCTGGTTCGTGTTGGCTCATACACAGAAGATGGGAGCAGAATCTGCGTGTAAAGGCTTATGTTCAAAATTTGCGCCTAGGCCGCCAATTTTTGCTAGAAAATGGCGCCATGGTTGCCGGTTCTCCATCTTTTGGGGTTTATCCTCGACAATGACTCTAACACACAAACGTTATAAAAATGAAGAAGAAATAAATACTAACAAAATTAAAAATTGCACAGAACCAGAGAGGAACAAGAATTGGCGTATGGACCGTCGAATTACGATGGAACCTGGCGCCCTGGCTGTCAATTCTGTCTCTGCTGGGTTCGACTTAAAACACCGACTCTGGGAATAAAACTAAAAAAAAATATGAAAAATAAACACAAACAGAAACAAAGATGAATAGAAACGAAAAAGCAAAAGAAAAATAGAACACTTACCTTACCTTATTCCCTTATGATGGTTGTAAGAGCCACGACAACGCCGCCAAAATTTGATAGCATGTAGTAGGTGGATGTGTTATAAACGCGCTGCTACGGATCGGGAAATCGCCGGAATCGACAAAGCAAGAATACGAAAGCGAGAATCGAAAACACGACACACGATTTACGTGGTTCACTAACACGATGTGTGTTAGCTACGTCCACGGGCGAGAGAGAGCCAGTTTCACTATATCGAGGAGATTACAGATTACAGAGAGGTATGCGAAGTATTTATAGTACTTCTCCATGTGGGTCTAAACCTAATCCAATCTGACAAAGGAAACGGTTACAGACCAGGCCCAGAACCCGAACCCAAATAACATTGAGACCCCCGATTACCAGTCGTAGCGGCTGATAGTCCGATTCAAGTCATATCAACAGGATGCAAATTTACCAGTCCGAAAACCAGGATCGTATTCACTAGGGTATCTCAAAACCACTTACTCAAGTGGTGAGGCACGAGATCTATGGTGGATTTAAATCGAATGTGGAGGTTGAGTGGTTGACGTGCCTCCGGAGTTGAAGTTCCCCTTGAAGGCTTGAACAAAAACAAAAGGCAATGCGGGAGATCAAAACTATAAAACTGGCTAGTGAAGGGAACGTGAGGGTGAGGCGTTACATAGGCAATCCCCTCTAGAGTTATTTAGAGTCGCAACATTGATCGTGGCAACATACGAGCTGCTTGATTCTAGCTAGGTTTATTCCTGCCATATCATAGCATTTGAGGAAGTCGACACAGTTCGATTGGTTGAATATCGACCGTGAGGGACTGTTGTGTCGAGTCTCTTTCATCCACAAAGTTAGGTTTGAGGATGTATCCTTTGAAAATAGTCCTCGTCTTACGTACACAATCGAATCGACAACAAATCAAACAGAAAAGATAGATGAAATCAAGTCACATATATCCCAAAATCGAGAGTTACATAGTCAGAGAACCTCTGGGGTTCACCAGTCTACGGAACTAAGGAACTAGTCGCACATGAGGACGAGATACTAGGAGAACAACGACTGAAATGAGATACCCCTGAATCGACAACCACAACAAGGAATCAGCGGCTAAATCGCCAATTCTAGATCCGATTCAACCTTTAATTCTGACTTTGCTCTATGTCGGGAAGAGTCACTCTGTTGGCATAGTAGTGGCCCTCTAGTGCCTCTTATCACTAGCTGTTGAATTTCTACCCCTAGGGGTCTATTTATAGGCATGTGCATAAGGTTTTCTGAAAGAAAAAGTCTTCCTAAAGAATCTGGGCTCAATCTGGAGACTCTTTGAGCTCATTCAGGCCTCTTCCAACTTGGCCACAAAGTTTGGCATACTCCTTAAGAATCTGGGCTCAGTCTTGAGACTCTTAGAAATGACGTCCTATGCACCATTTTGGGCTTGAGTCGACTGATTCCACACTGTTTACCGGACTTGATCCAATCTCACATTCTTGCTCCCGGCAATCGGGACTTGTTCCCCACTCGTACAAGATAGTCCAAAACTTTTTCAAGTCTAATTCTGATTCAAAACCAACCACCACCATCAAATGTGCTGATTGGGGATCCTTGGAACTTTGTATTCTAAAAGTAATTAACCTTGCAAGTTTTTCGATGAAACTGGCAACGACATGACAGACCCGCACACCAGCCATGAGTGATCACAGACTTTGCTGCCAAATAGAGAAAGAAAGCATGCTCTCTAGATTCTAGAGTAAACTCCACTGGTTTGTCAACCAGGATGCTCAGTCAACCAATCAAAGCGTTAGATTTTTCCTGGTTCGACCTTCCAGGTCGACACTGGGTTGACAACTTTTTTTTTTGCTGCACTTTGATCTCTATAGTAATTCTTATCCATTTGCTTATTCAGAGATGGCGAGAATTGTGTAATTTCTAGAATTACGTGCAGGATTTGCAGATTGTTACACATTGTATGTCTATATAATAGCGATACCGACTGAATAAGCTGGCTGCTGAAACTCCAGCTATTAGCCACCATGCAAGGTTGAAATGAAAACCACCACGTCCTTCTCTTGCAGTGTTGTATCAAGCTGCCCACTGAGCTCCCAATCACAGTCATTCACCAGAACTAGAACGCCAGGTCTCCTGTTTCCGCAGACACCAAGATGATTGTAAGGTATATGCAAGTTTCAGAAGAAGAAAAACATTCATCCAAGATATGATTTTTAAACCATCAAACTTGAGCTCAGAGACAGACAACCAATACCTTCCCTGAACTATCTATATACTGAAACTTCCAAACCCTGAACCCTTTTGAGGCAGTCGATCGAGTTATATACTTACACGGTATCACCTTTCATGAACATCTCAGGCCTCTCCTTGATCAAATTGGTACGAGCCCAAGCAAGCAAATCTTTCATTGTTAACTGAAAATTGACCAGGAACCATATGACAGAAGAAGGGTTTAAATCAATTCTTATTGTCCTTTCAAAAGAACAATACTTACCTGCTCCAACCCATTTTCAAGATCCACATTCACATTATGCATTTTTACCGAATCACAAAGAAGCTCCAGCCCCCCACTGCAATAGATCCAGTAGCAGCAAGCTACATCACTACCAGTAGAACAGAGACAGAAAAAAGGGGACATAAAACAGAGAAGCAATGAACTTAAATACGAGATCGTGCATACAACAGTATCAAGCCCACAGATGAATCTCAAACCAGCTTGTGATAAGCAAGCAACAATAATGGTTTTATATAAGCGCCAATCGAAATATATACACATTATGATTCCAACAAATTTAAGTAAGTCTGCAGAGGCAAGAAAAATCCCATAAGCCGAAGACTCGTATCACTGTCAAAGCCAAATCAGCTAGAGAAAAATTCCTGAGCAACACGCAGGAAAACTGAAAATTCCACATCATAGATAATCTGAACAATCAATCAAACCTCCATGGGCATCCTACTGATTCAGAGCAGCGCATTCTTCACTGTTTTGTTATATAATCAACCCAGAGAGGTTCACTTCACTGTTATATAACTAGCCCAGCTAAAAATGAATCAGTCAGCCGATAGTGAGAAAGTTGGAAAACTTTTACCCAAATTCAAGAGTGAGTTGCATGTTTCTGGGTTCGAGCTAAGTTGAAAAAAACCCTAGAATTGCAAGCGAGAATTAGAATTGGGGAGAAAAGTTCTGCTAATCCTCGCGTCAAGTCTACGATATATTAGTAAAGTTATATGGACAATTACAAGAAACTCCTCCATTTATGATTATCTCAATTTCGGAGCCTAATATACTGTTTAGTATTTACAAACACTAGTATATATTGTTTAGTATTTGCATGTTAAACCCCACGTCACAATTAGAGATGGCAATAGAACTCGCAGCTGCAGCAAACACTCAATCCGACCCAATCCAATCACAGTGGTTAAAACTCGACATTGAGAGATTTTAGACCAGGTTAAAACCCGCTTTGGGCTTTTGCAGGTTGGGTTAGAATTGGGTTGTGTGAATACCCGCCCCACCGGCACTCGGAATACTATGCGTTATTCTTTTGGAGCCATAAGAGTAGACCAATCCCCCCTAGTAAGGCCCTAAACCTAACTCGAATGAGTTCTTCCCTTGTCAACTCTCTTATGCTAGTCTCCAACTTGCAACTGCAAACCCCCAAGAACTCTCTATCTCTCTCTCCCAAGGCTGTGAACTCGGTTTAAATCATTGAGTCGGTCAAGCAGGGGTTGAGGTTTAATGGTCTGATGGGGATCCGGCCAGTTTGAGCTGTTTTAGACATTCTCTAAATATATATACAAATAAGGTAGTAATTAAAGATTTAATGACTGAAATAAAATTTATCTTACATATATCTATTAAAAACTTATTTCCCGCAAAATAAATCTATCTAATCTTCATGACCCACCCAACATCTCCCTTTTTTCGTTGCTCTTCCTCTCTTCTCCCTCTTTAGGGATCAGTCCGGGATGCTTTCTGGAGACCGTTTTGAAGCTCGACTCGGGTCGGACCGGATCCAACCGGGGGTTCGATAGGGGTTTAACAACCTTACTCTCTCCTCTCCTCTATGTTGTGGCTCTGACTCCTCGCCTTCGACTAGGAGACGACCGTCGGCGAGTGGAAACATTAAACTTACACCTCCTTTATTTATTGTTAAAGTATTCAAAATAACAAACCTACCTGTTGAATTGTTCAAAAAGTTGTCTCGTTTGGATGAGGAATTGTAACGGATCAATTTGACACAATTGTCTCGTTTTGAGACAATTGTACCAAATTGCCTCGTTTGCCAGCAAAAAAATTGGATGGATCAATCTGCCTGAGGTATTTTGAATTGATCCGTTTTGAGTCAATTTCAATTACATGGGGTGGGGGCAAGTAATTCGAATTGACTCGTTTTAATTGCCTCGTTTATAAAACGAGACAATTGATCAAATTGACTCATTTCTAGATTGATTCATCCAAACGACAAACAAGGATAAGTCTCTCAAATTTGCCATTTGCCCTTTGCTTTTACGCCCCTCCCACTTCCTCTTCTTCTCAAACAGAGTATTAGGCATGGGTTTTGGTACTCTTAGAAATCAATGTCCCATAAAAAAGGCCTGGATAGGGTTGTGAAAGTCGCAATGGGTGAGAAAGTTTGCTTCACAAACTGTGTATGCGATTTTTTCTTCTCATTTGGCGTGTTTGGTCCGAAGCTGGTAATAAGAGTGGAACCCACATATTTTGGCACTCTTACTTTTTTCTAAGCCAAAGTTGACCCCTCAATTTTGATGTTTTGATACTTTTATACTTTGACCTTATCATTGGAGATCCATTTTTTAGTTTTTTATTTACACTTTGACCTAGTCATTACAGTATGAGCTTAACTATCAAATTACAAGCTAGTTCGTCACATTTTAAAAGTGTTATTTCGGAGTATATCGATCAGCAAAACTCAACTGTTACCCTGCCAAACTATTAACTTAAAAGTAATAGTTTCATTCACTGAATAAGTTGTCGGGTTTTTTCCTCCCATTAAATACAAATTTGTAACCCCAAAAAAATTAAGATGAAACTGGCCAGTTTCTATGGGTTACTTCATCCAACCAAAATAAAGAAAAAGCCAAACGGAAGAAAAGAAAGAAATAAATGGAACAGCCTGCCACACACATTCCGTAGAAAACTAGAAACCATTTGATTTCCATGTGTTAAAAGCGGCGAACACACAGAAAATGACAGCCGCGGAAAATAACGTGGACGCCGAAGTAGAAACACCAACAACGTCGTCGATAAATGAGGAAAAGGAGGAGGAATCAGAGGTCGTAACCATAGCCTCCGCTCGTCGGCGGTGGAAGCTGCAATGGCAGAAGTTGTGCACCAATACTCCTCCTCCCCTTAAATTGGTTTTGTTCCAGTCAACTGTTAGGGTAAGCAGGTATTCTCTATTGAAACGATATTATCGGTTCACCTCATTTTTTAAAGGTTTAAAGATGATAAATAGTTTATTGAGATTCTTAGGATAATTCTTGAGTTATTATCGTATTTTTTTTATCATATTCATTCTTAGTTGATTATTTTTTGGATAATTATCGGTTCAACCGTTAACCGTCAATTATCAATTAAATCAATAATCATTACAAACGTGATAGGTAGGTTGGCAGATGTGGACTTTGGGTTGTTGGTTGACAAGGGTGTAAGTTAGGGGTGGACATATGGTTCGGTAAAACCGAACCTAACCAAACCGAACCAAATATAAACCGAACCGAAACCGAATTAATGTTATTCAGTTCGGAATTCGGAAGAGAAAATGGCATATTTCGGAAACCAGGGTCCTTTCGACCGAACCGAATTTCCGAATTCCGAACCGAAAAACCGAATTATTATAATTGCAAGCTCTAAATGGTGGATTTTTATGTTTCTACTTATTATGAGACTTAAATATTTGAATCATGTTAGTGTTTTATGACTTATGGGTTGAAATGTTTGATTTTATCATTGATGATGCATATTTATTGTTTACATTAGGGGTGAAAAATAATTTAAAAAAGAGAAGATACAAACTAACCTCACTATTTCGGTTTTGTATGAAAAACCGAATTCGAACCGAATTATAATTCGGGTTGAACCGACCGAACCGAATTATAATTCGGTTCGAACTCGGTTTGAGGTTTGATAGAATTCGGGGACCCGGTATGCATAATTTCGGTTTGGTTTGAACCGAACCGACCGAATGCCCACCCCTAGTGTAAGTGATTGGTCTAACCAACGGTTTGTGGGTTATCCACTACTAATTGGCTAAACTTGAGGTTAACCAAAAGCCAAAATGACAACGAAGCAACACAATAATCTCATCCTTGTAGGAGAAGTTGTCATATTTTGGGCAGGAAAGGGAAGAAGGGTGGGAAGGAGAAGGAATTTTGTGGTTTTATGTGACTATAATTATGTACTTGCTCATTAGCTTAATGTCATTGAAGGTTGGAACTCAAAATATTAGCTTGTTGTCTTTCTTTTATTATAGTTTATCGTAGTTTCGTTCAATTATAACGTATGAGAGTTCGAGACGCCATTCCGCCAATTTTGTGTCTCGTAACATGCATTTTCCCATTTTCCTAGATTACTCTCATCTTTGTTCTTTCCACCAATCTCTTGTTATTTCCATATAAAAATGCAAATAGTCTGGTTAGTTCGTTTCTTAGCTTCCAGTTCATCGAATTAAAAGTTATAGAGAACAAGAAATTGAGATACCACAATCTCCTCCATTATCACTGTCCAAACTCTTAACTCTAGACAAACTCAAGAGTTTTGCCTAATCTCTAAGCACCCAATAAAAATCTGTGATGAAACCATTCAATAGAGGATTTGGCCGAATCCATTTAGTATTAATTTTGATTAGTTCTCACAAGAACTTTTCCACCTCAACTTTCTATCACTACTATTTTCAATCAAGAAATTCAACCACGTGTACACCGCATAGAAAATCCTAGGAAGGGGTGTATGAATCACTATTTGCAAATTTAATTATTAGTTAACAGAGAATTACTTTTATATATGAAAATATAGATACCTTATAAATTTTTTGACAGTATAAATTTTTTTTACAGTGAAAATCAAATTTATTTTAAGATGACGATTGAGTTTAAGATATTGATTGATATTTAGTATCAGGATAGAGATATATGATCGCGTGTAGTACATGGACCCAAATTTATCAGGCCTTAAAGGCCATGATCGTATTTTCTTAAGGTCTCTTACAACTACTTATTCAGACGGTGAGAGATGAGTTCTATGGTGATTTAAAATGAATGTGAAGGTTGAGGTTCCTTCGGGGTTAAAGTTTCCCTTGGTTTTATAGAAATCTACAGTAAATTGTGGGGTCGTTTGGAAGTTGTGATTGTTTTTGTTAGATTGTTATTATACTTGTATTGATTAGAATGCATCATTTTTATTTTTTAACAGACAAAATACATAGATTGTTTATGTGATGTGAGAGAAACTATCACTCAAAATGAGTGATTGTTATATCTCAACTTTAAGTTGAGATTGTTGAGATATTTGAGTTGAGATTGTTTTGTCTCAACTTTAAGTTGATTTGACATGCACAATTACATATACCAAACGATGTATTTTACAATGCCTCAAATTCATCAATACATGTATAATATTATACATGTATTAACAACAATACATCTGTTAAACAATCACAACTTTCATACGCCTCCTATGATGCAGAAAAGGAAATCTATAGCTAGTGTGCTTGTAGGAAGCAGGAGGACAAGGCTTTGCACATGCAAAGCCCTCCCTAGAGTTCCTTGACTGGTCTCTTGATCTTGTCAAGTATGAGTTGCTTTATTCTTATGTGATCTTATACTACCTTGTGCCAAGGCTTCTTGCCTAGGTCTATAAGGCAACAAGTACCCTTCGGCTCTCTCCCTTGAGGCGTCAATCTTGTTGATCGAATCGAGAGTTGATCGTGTCATCTCCATCTTTATCTATGTGTCTAGGATTTTGATGCTTGCGCCATGAAGGGATGCAAGCTCGACTTAGGAAATCATTCGATCATACAAAAGACAACATGAAGGAATCAAATACAAAAGATAGAAAGAATAGCACAAATCATATTGTGCCAAAATCGAGAATACAAAGTCAAGAACCTCTAGGATTCACAAACCTACGCAACGAAGGGGACTAGTTGGCCATGGGAACGAGATCCATGAGATTCAAAATTCGAAATGAAGATCCCACGAAGTCGTGAATCCGGCTGCTCAAGTCGTGAATCGTGATCGCGACGACTGGTGAGGCGAGCCAGGAGGCGATTGATGATGGCTGGAAGCCTGACTAAAGTCGTGATAGAGTCGATACTCGATATTGAGCTTCATCGTCGTGGCTCGCCAAGTTAGAGTTGGGAAGTGAGAAGTTGAGAATTGAGATGATAGCTCTGAAAGGGAGTTGCAACTGCAGAATTGTCTAAGGAGACAGAGTGTGTGGGATGTAGAATTGCCTAACACTATTTAGGGTTTAGAATCGTTAGGTAGGTCTGGCAGGATTGTAGGCTGACAAGGCAGGGTTGTGGGCCAGCCGTAAGGGTGGACAATGGTTTGGTCCATACCGAACCACACCGGATCGAGTCGATGTTTGGACCGGACCACACCAAATCGAATATAATATGATCCGGTCTTTGGTCCTATGAATTTTAAAAATAATGAAGAAAAATGGACCGAATTTACATTTGGACCGGACCAAATGGACCAAAGCTGACCGGATGCATTATTGGTCCTTGGTCCTAAGATATCTTTCATTATTGAACCGCGATTCTCCTGAGTTTGATCCGATCCGGTCCGGATCGGACCGATGCCCACCCCCTAGCCTAGAAATTTGGCAGACTAGGTTGTTGGTTTGCCGGTTATCTGGTTTTCCAATTTTAAACGGATTGGGGTGTACCAATAATTTGTATGGACACAACCGCAAAATTACATTGGGTTGATGAAAATCCGATTTTCGGTTGCAACCGTAATGATTTAAACTGATCAAATCCCTAACTCTAGCATTATGCTAACAATGTGTGTTTTTAGCACCCTAACCTCCGCTCAAAAATACTTGTGAAAGCAGTTTTGCATGAGCATATGATCGATGGTGTGCATAGCGGTCACAGCATAAGGATTTGCGACACAGCACGTCAGCCGTCGATTTATATTGGCGCTGATCGGCCAGCTTGAGCTTGATTCACACTTCCCACTGCACAGATCATTATCCGAAATCAACCGCTGAGATCAAATTTGTCTGCGCAGTTGAAGTCGTACTACTTCTCAATCAATCGTTGTCACTCGCTTCTCAGTTCTCAGTGCTCTCACCTCTTCTCCGTCAAAACATGGATTCTCCACCTTTATGATTAACGACAAAGGATTCACCTTGTCCCTGATTCCTCTTCTGGGCTCGTCTCAAAACTGGTCGTTTCTCGAGCGGTGCCGGCAGCCGGCGAGGTCAATTTAGGCGGGTTGAGGGCGAGCTTGCGTATTTCAATTCAGGAAACGCGCTCTGAGTTTCCGATCCGCAGTTATGGAGGCGTATAAGAATTGGGTGCGGAGGAATAGAGATTACGTTAACTCGTTGGAGTCTCTCGCCAGTGTAAGCAAGCGAAGCCCAATTCCCCCCCATTTGCTCACAACTCTTCTTTTCTTTCCCCTCTCTTCTTCTGTGCTGGCTTCGCTTTCTTGGTTTTTGCTATTGTCAATTCTAACTTGAGAGTGAAGGAAACTTCCGAGGTTCCTGACCTTGGCACTTGTATACTGGATTTGATTGGTTTTCTCGGAAACCCTTTCTTAAACCAAAATGTTGAGCAAGAGTTTGTGTCGAAGAAGCCTGCCCTGACTGCAATTTTTGCAGTTATGTTCTCTACTTACTTAGTTTGGTTCGACAAATGGGGAAGTCGATCATCGATGAAAGAAAGAAGGTGATTCCTGCACTGTAGATAGATAGACTTGGGTCGGATGTTGGAGAGTTAGGAGTAACGGGTTCTCCGATTATGGCTGTTTGAATCATGATTCAATGACATTGGTCTACTGAAAGGATTGAGGAAAGTTTACTTTTTAAGCACCACCAAAACCAGGTTAATTTCTCTGCGTGTGGATGAATTTGTACGAGGAGAAAACAGGAAAACTCCCCAGCAAAGCTGGAGATTGGAGATTGGAGAATAGCTTCTGCCCCTTATCGATTTAGTTATAAATTTACTCTATTTGTGCAATATACTTCAGTAATTATTTGTCTGATGGAATGTTGAATCTGTCTTACAGGGACTGACGTGGCTTCTGCCTGAAAGGTTTTCTGAGTCAGAGATTGGACCAGAAGCAGGTTTTTCTAAACTTTTGGCTAATTTGTTTTAGTTTAGAATCCCATAGGAGTTTTATTTCTTTGAAGTAATTCACGGGTTATGGCGAGAATCTATATGGCATGTTTTTCTCGCATCTGTTGCTTATTCTGAAAGCATATATGGATGTTCTTGGAGGTCCTTTTGATAATTTTGTGATGAAACGAAGTTGAAAATGTGGCCTGTAGTGAACATTTTTATATATCATTTTCAGTTACTGCGGTTTTGGGTATGATTACTGCAATCAATGAGCACATAATTGATACAACTCCAAGAAGCCAGACACCTGCCGTAGCAATAGAGCCTCACTCTTTTCCTTATCCGTTATGCATATCCATGATAAAGGAACTGGAGACATTGGTTGAAGTTGCTGCACAACAATACTTTGGCGATGATAAAAAATGGAACTTCATTGCTCTTGCAGAAGCAGCAAAGTAAGTAAGCTGCATTTCTCGGTTTAGTTTTCTGAACCATTTGAGTCTGGTCGTCATTCAATAACATGAGAGTTTTATGGCCCAGGGTGATAGTTAGGTTGGCATCCTTTAGGAACAGTGGATTTCGGATGCTTTTACAAGGAGGAGAGACTCCAAATGTTGAAAATTCACCAAGTCCATCAAAGCTTGGGAATCATCATGAGCCTGACCATTTTCTGAATATGAATGGAAGAACCCAATGGAATATGGAAGGCAAGGCCTTGTCTGCACTGAGCAGATTCCGAGAAAATGCCAGGAAGGGTGCTGACCCAGAGTGGTTACACAGGGTTCAGCATCAACATCCTGTCGTGGAGCCTCCAGGTTAATTTCCTTAAAATTATAATGGGCCTATTGGAAGATCCCTTTTCAGCCATCATAGTTGTTTTCTGTAAGTTTGATCTGAACTGCTTTGCCTTCTGTCATCTTCTTTCCATTGTCTTTTACAGCTGCAGTGGTTCAACGGCCAACACTCTCGAAGATATTGAATGAGAGAGGCGTTTCTGGGTTATTATTTGTGCTAGGGGAGGCGCTGTTCATTACAAGACCCCTTATCTATGTATTAATAATCAGGAAATATGGAGTTCGTTCATGGGTTCCTTGGTTTCTTTCTCTAGCTATTGACTTTGTTGGGGTAGGTTGTCTTACGCCACTGTCAACATTGCGGTTTGGAGGAAGGGAGGAACAGTGTCAATTTACTGATGCTGAAAAGCATGAGGTTAGAATATGTCTTTGTTTCATTCTCGGACCTATAGAAGTACGCCTGTGGCTCATTAACTCCTGGGTTGAACTTGGCAATTTGCTAGTAATGTTTAGACTAATTGATACTGTTATGGTTGAATCAGCTTAAGAGAAGAAAACTGTTATGGGCACTTTACTTGATGAGAGATCCCTTCTTTAGCACGTATACAAGGTACCCATTTTCTTCTAATGGTTTGCAGGTGTGTTATTCTTGTGATTGCTAGTTGTATAACAGAATACTGCATTATTGTTTATCATCCCCAGAGGTAAACTGGAAAGCACTGAGAAGATAATGGAGCCTGTACCTCTAGTCGGGATTCTTACAGGTGAGCTAAACTGTACAGTATAGTAGCCTATTGCCTTTCTGGCAACAGAGCTTACAAAAAAACAATGGTTTACTTGTGCTTGGACTGATTGCACATTGTAATTGTGTTCTGCATGCGCAGAAAAACTCGTTGAGCTTCTATCCGGAGCCCAAACTCGATACACGTACATGTCCGGGTCATGAGACGGAGTTCAAACTGGAAGAAGTCGAATTTATCGAAGGGAGAATTTGTGGTTGAAGTTTCCCCATCTTGTCTATCTATATATTGGTCATGGATTGTTCCGCAAAGTGCAATGTCTGGGTGGGTGAACAAGAGCAGAAGTCTGGTGACCAAGCTGAGACGATGGATGTTGGCATGTTGCACACTCGCAACGAAACGGTTTGAGCTGAAGGGTTTGTTTTGCTTTGAAGGTTTGAGAGTGTCAGCTGAGCTATCTACACCATTACCAGAGTCCCCTGCCCCATAATACAAGTTGATATCACTGATTCATCAAACACCAAAACTCTGACAGCCTTTATGCTTGAACATTAGGCTGCACAACTCGGGGGGAAAATTAGGGATGTAAAGGCTAAAATGATTTGATTAGTGTTCGTCATCAACAATCACTCAACTTATCCACATAATGCTTTGATGAGTATCCATCATTTCTCTTTTACCTCTCCACAATGGATGTTACCAAACCCACCAAAACATAAAACCACTGACTTATCACTCCTAACCTTCAATGTGGTTAAAATTTCTAAAATTATTGTCCAAGAAAATTATAATCTGACTAGATTTTATCATTATTAAAAATTAAAGTGTGACTATAATTGTCAGAGTAAAAAAATTGGCTATACATGTATTTCATCTTTAAAAAAAAATTCACACTACCAAAAACTCGACGAAGAAGAGAGATTTGAAGGGGCATGGGCTTCAGAAAAGGGAAACCAGAACTCTCTTCCACGACGCAGAACCTGTAGACACCGACTCCCTCTTCCTACAATTTTAGAGTGTTGGAAAAGCCCATCCATTCCACATTCAAAATCAAACGGTCTCTTCTCAGAAAAACTCAAATGGTCAGATTCTCCTGAATGGCAATGAAGGAACCTACGATATTACCACCTACATCTGGGAAAGTTTCACAACCAGGGAGAGGCTTCACCTTGCCCGACCTTTCCACCTCAACTGGGTACTTCATCAAATGCCCTCTCATCTCTGTTACCTCATCATCCAGAAACTGTTTCCAGTTTAACTCCGCCATGGACCGAACCCTTCTCACACAATCAAGACCCTCTGGCTGCGTGAAGCAGTCCTCAACTGTTGCAAGATGCTCTGCCCACAGCGACATCCTGTACCCATGAATCTGCAATAGAAAGAAAGGGAAAAAAAAGAGCAGCCATAAATCAACTCAGGTTCCAAGCACACTCTAGGACCATTGCTTTGCTTCTTTTTTTTTTTTTTTCAAGACAGGAACTTTCTCATCCAAGCGCTTCATATTATACCTGTCCAAGTGGGGTTCGTTGTTTTCTTGCCCAAGTATGTTGAGGTTGATATGCTCCCATTGCAATCTCTGTATCTCTGCTGCCCTCCATCGAACGTTGATTTATGTTTGCAGAACCCAGGATCACATACTCATCGTCAACTATCATCCCTTTCGAATGAACATAAATCATGAACCTCCGGCTCTTTCGAGAAAGCGACTGGAAGTGCCATAAAATGAAACAAACTCAAATCAACTTCATGAGTGCAGCAGAAGCCATTGCTTTGAATTCAAAGGTTTATCTTGTAAACAAATGGTTCCAGTAATCAAGAGCAGAGGTAGAAAGAGAAAAATATACCTGAGGAGAATTTGCAGCATGAGGACTCGATAAACCTGCAGAGTCATTGGGGTTGATGGCCTCACGATTTCCAAGACAGAAGAAGTTCAAATAATCTGTAGGTGAGAATGCATCCTCCAAACCAGCCTCCACCAAAGCCTTGGAAATTGTCTCGTACATCATTTGCATGGTTTTATGCTACATAAGTTTTACACAATTTTAGGACACATTTAAATGGCTCTCATTTACTTTAGAAACTGAAAGAAAGCCAAATTGCTTAATTCCTAATGGTGCAGTAGCCAGTTCCTTCTACTATTCCAGAAAAATTCCTAAAGCTGTTTGCATAATGAAAGAGCTATTACCTGCCAAAAAAGAATTCTTTGGGTAGCAGCACCTGTTGGAACTCCTTCTGGCCACATTGGAATGACAATGTAGGCAGCAAATCTCTCATGTGCTTTAATTTTATCGGCAATTTTCAATGCGATTTCCATTGGGATTAAGTTATTAGCACCTGCAAGAATATAGTAGAATCACAAACATCTTCACATCAGTCTTGAATTTATTACAGCAAGGACCACCTATTAATAATAACCAATCTCACACTGACTAAGTTCCTTACCTAAATCTTTATATGAACTCCAGTTGTACGAAGACCCAATGAAATACTGGTTCTCGATGTATATGAAGTGCTGGGCAGCGCGGATAGCTTTCACGTATGCTGTGTGGATGCTCATATCAATCAATACATTCTTTCCACACATCAGATTCTGGTACAGTAGAGAATAATCAATAAGCTTGGACAATAAAAGATTTGATGGTAGAAACCCAGAAACTCAAACACGGTTTCTTTTAGAAGGTTTTCTCACCTTTGGCGTGGCATCTTTCGGATCCTTTGGGAAGCCTCTAACAGAATTTGAGTCAATTGAACGAAAGATCTGCATCCAACAAGCCAAATAAGATACTTTGTTCTCTCTCTCACAAAAGACAAACAGCATAAACATCCTAAAGTTTCACCTTCACTACTTATATCCACTCAAAGGCATCACTAAATTACCTGGACATGCCAAGTTTCTGGATCATTCTCACCCACACAAGGAGCATCAGAAGCTGCCACTATATCAGGAATCCTGTCTATCCTTAATAAAGCATCATCATATGAAGTTTTCAGCTTTTTCAGTCCACGGGGTTTGGCAGCCTTGAACCAGCGCTCTTCGAAGTTGGTGAGAACATCATATGCCGCTGGACCGTCAATTCTACTGTGCAAATCATGCCATGGTTCTCTCGGGCAGCCAGAAACACTTCCCTGTTTAGCATTGAGTAGTCAATTCACAGCTCAATTTTAACACTCAGAAAGACTCACTTTTCAATTTTCATAAATGACCCTGTGCAGGAAACTTATCCTGAAATATACTGCGGTTAAAAGCAGTGTAACTACATATTCTGTTGACCACTAAAAGCATACCGTGAAAGTAGGGTTGTGATAATCATCTTTATGGACAGTCTCGAGTGTCCTAAATAGTGGGTGATGGGGAGTGTCATATCGGCCATCACATAGATCAAGGCCACCAACAAATGCCATGATTTTTCTCCTATTATAGCCAGCATCAGTATCTACGATTACGGTCTTCTGATGGTGCGTATAGATAGTTTCAACTTCCTGATATAGAAAAGACATTTACATGGTCAGATATTTGCAGATCAAACATGTGAAACCTGATTAAAACAAATCCTGTGCAGGATTGTTTTTTGTAAGGTGCATTTTATATGAAAAAGGAAAAGTAAATAACTTCAAGTTAAGTTCCAGAGGAACTTATGGGAACAGCAAGAAAGGATGCAAAATTCACTTTCATGGGGGTTTTTTCTTCTTCCAATTTTCTGTCTTTTACAACTCGCAAGCAACCTCATACAAAAGATAAGTTGAACATGGAAAATTACCAACAGGAAAATCATACAGACTAAATAACAGTCAGTTCATCAGATAATACCCATTAATTGAGCGTACTCTCAATCCATTGGACTATTTTTGTTGTCTGCCCATTACCAAAAGGCATGTGGAACTAAACTAGATAATGCTTGTGTAGCCTCCTTGTACTAATCAGATCGTTTTTACCAAAAAGATAGCCATCAGCTTTGGTAAAGCAGCATTAATGCATTGGAATCCATACAACTGAAAGTTTACTTCAGTTACTATTACTCACCCTCTGCTTGACCCAGCTATGTTTCTTCCCAGCAATGCGGGGGCAAAGCAATACCTGCACCGATGAGTGTTTAAAGAAACGCCGTGTTTCCTCATCATGCGTTGCCATAATTCCATCCTGCATAGAACAAATTTCAAAGAGGTTTAGCAGAGAAACCTGGAACCTTAACAGCTGAAAAATGGAAGGATTTGAATGAGATAGCAGGGCAATATCCTCAATTGAATCGACCATTCAGTAACCATTCCGAACTAATTACAAACAAGCACATGTGGCAGGATAAATTCGGAACCAAGAAGTACAACAGTCAGCATTTCTTACTGTTCTGTATCCCAAAATACTCCTTGATGTAGGGTCATCCCAAACAAGAAGCAGAACTCTTACTCCCTCCTGGGACTTGGATCGGAGAAGCTCCCCCAAGGAACTATCAAAAGGACAAGCAGCATCCCTGATAAGTCTAACTTTGTGCCACACTGACCACCCAGTAATATAGACCAAACGCTTAGCCTGTCGTATTGCATCAAAGATATCTCGCCAGCACTGACCATGCACATAGGACATCCCATTATCAAGGTTCAGATTCGGAAGAAACCCATCCGGTACATGTGCGTCTTGATAAAGTGTCACTCTTCCACCTTTCCTTAGAGGAAAATATGTGCCTGGAACCCCTTGATAATCAGGACCAGCCCCAACACCATGATGGTAAATGCTCAACCTTTCCATGGGTATGTACTGAATCGAAATCCTTAGCATAGCACCAGGTTTGCATGGTTTTCGACTGCTGTTGAGAATCGGGTAAATACCTTCTATTTTGGACCCTGAATATATTTGCTCCACTGGGATTGAGACAGCTCCTATCAATTGTGAACCAACCACATCACTGTCTTTGACCACAAAGTGCACTTCAGCAGCATGATGTGCAACAGGAACATAAAAATGTTGGCACCAAATAGGATTTTCACTATTGCTAAGCACATAAGTTCTCCCCAGAACAGCACGCCCTACTGAGATCGAGACATAAGGATCACTAGTAATCTTGTCACTCACTTGTCCTTCTATTTTGTTGCTTAAATTTGCAGGGAACTTATTCAGCATATCCCCCAATCTCTTGTGAAACATGTCCATGTTTGGAAGCTTCTGGGCATCATAAACCCAAATATCCAGATTCCCATGCAGCAACAAAACCCTCAAGGACCCTTTAGTACCAAACGGGACAATTTGGAGGGATGTGCCTTGTGGTGAACCATCAAATGAAGGCGAATGCACATGAGCAGAAGGCGAAGCCGTAGCATAAGGTGAAGCAGAACCAAAAGAATCTACGTGGCCCAAATAGGCTCCTTCATAGTGACTTGAAAAGGAGTCATTAGGATAACCATAGAATCCTGCTTCTTGCCTATAATATCCCATACTGGAAGTTTGATGGCTGAGTGAAGGAGAGCCGGGCAATGCTGGAATTAAAGATGATGCAGGTGATGCAGGGGCGGAAGGACGAGCTTCGTGGTCATTCAGATGCACATTACTCAACATGTCATCTAGAGGTGGGTAGGGTGAATACGACGAATTTGAACTGGGCGTATCACAAAGATTGTCCTGATGAGTGGATGATCCAGTCCCCAAAGGAGGACAGCTCTCATGTCTACCATGTCCAGGAAAGCTACTCCCTCCATGAGTTGAAATTGCAGGAAGGTGAGGGTAATAATAAGATGCAGAGGAACCATGTTGGAAGCTGCTTTGATGCTGGAGATGAGGATTGGAAAACTGTGGAGACTGATGATGGTTCGGGGGATAATGATGTTGATACTCCAATGGCGTGAAAGGAGTGGTTGAATTCGGTGGCGTTTCAGAAGTAGGCGGCGGCGGAGGAGGAGCTGAAGGATAAGCATCTGGCGGGGGATGCGAGGGATAGGAGGTCGCCGGAGCTGGATATGCAGACGGCGGAGGGTAGCCGTAAGATGGAGGGTACGGATAAGGGTAAGGTTGATGATTATAGGAGGGATGTGGATCTAAATTGGGAGGTGGGTATTGGTAATTCGGGGGAGGGGGATTTCCCGGCGGAGGCGGGTGGTAAGGATACGGATATGGGTATTGAGCTGAGGAACCATTGTGATCCATTGAAGATCAGAAGCTTAGAAGAAAAATGTGTGATCTTTCCCAATTGTTCTTTGTTTCCCGCAAATCACCTAACCCTATGCGAATCAGGAATTGGAGACGCGAGGAAAGGGATCAAAGAATTACCTCGACGAGGCAGCAGAGCAACTGGGATATGTTTCTGGGGACACACACAATAACCCAAAAACAGGAATAGCAGGAGAACAATCGTATCAGAGTGGATTTTCCTTAACCGCGTAAACCACCGCGTCATAAAAGAAAAAATGGCGACTTGGCTTTCCCGGTTTCTCAGGCTCTTCTTCTTCTTCTTCTTTCTTATTCGCTTCGTCAAATCCAAGCCAGTGAGGGAGGGCAAGAATGGAGGTAGACGGCGGTTAGTTCGCCGGTCAAGTATTATTGGTGCCACGTGGATACCAGGCAGTGGCCGACGTGTATCCGACCTTGCCCTTTTTTCTATTTTCTTCATTTTGGAGTATAAAGGGTTAATAACTTAATACTCTTAGTTTGGCACCAAATTTGGCGTAAATTTCAGTTTTGGTCCGAATTTTTGAATAAGATAGTTGTGGCCTACTTTTCAAATTATTGGACAGATTTGGTCCAACGTTTGGATTGACCATTAAAATTGATGGTTAAACATTTATTCCATCAACGACTAAATATTCAGTATTGAGGTGGCATCGACATGGTTGCCACGTCATTTCCACCTAATTTATTTGTTAAATATTAAAAAAATAAAAATAAAAAAAATAAATACTTGAAGAAATAAAGAACTAGGGATGGCAATGGGGCGGTTTTGCCTAAACCATCTTCATCGCTGCTTTCAAATATCCAAACCCATACCCGCTCCATACCCATACCCATGGGTTTCGGGTACCCATGGATAATACCCGCCCCGTACATCCAACATTATAATGCATAAAATTTTACATGTAAATTTTTAGTTATCACATTAAACGCACCTACTATAACATGACGCCGATGTTGCCGGAGAGGCAACATATGCTGATTGCGGAAGTTCAAAACCCAGACAAGGGGATCGAGTTTCGCTCTGATACCATGTAGAAATTGATAACGTTGAAGATTGAAAGAACACACGAGATAAGGGATTTTATGTTGTACCCTCGATCGATTGATTGATCGTTCACAGTGAGCTTAACTGATGTTTTATTGAACGATTACATTGTGAGTTGTGACGGCTTGCTTACGACATGTTCGTAGCTAAGTCTTATATAGAGATAGACTATGGTTAAAACCATAACGAGAAGAGTTGAGTACGACACCCAATACTAACACGGTTTAAGTAACCGCAAGACAACTCAATTTTTCAATAGATGGTTGAATGACTCCGACTGCAGGGTCTATGACGGGCTAGCCGGGAGATGAGGGAGGGAGGAGACGACTCGTCGGCGGCGACTGAGAAAGAGGAAACGCCAACTCGTCGCTAGTCGACTACGAGATGTGTGAGTGACAGAGGGAGGGTGGGCTTTGACTGCGGTCGTCAGTGGTGCCCCTGATGCCCGGTGGAATGGTGGAGGTCGATGACGACACTTCTGGGTTCCGCTACCGCAGCCGAGAATCGAGATGGGGAGAAGAGGGAGAGACCTCGATGACACTCCTGTGTCGGCTTAGCCGAGCGAATGAAAATAACCCTAGCGTAGGGGGGTTCGCTGCCGTTTCAGCTTTAACTCAGTCCCGCCCCCAGGACGTTCTGGTTATAATGATATATATTGGCGGTTTATAATCGAGTTGGAAGCCGGCATATCGTTACCCTCATATCAGCCACCGCATACCAGCATCTCCCAATTAACGGCCAACTGGTTACCACCGATTATCGGTTCGATACCCAATTATACCTTTAACTACGTAACCGAATACCCGCTCTAGCTAGTGGCGGAGGAAAAGTAGAAAATAGAAACCGGGCCTTTGCTTCTTCATAATTATCTATGGCCCTTTACCATTTAACGTAATTCAATTATGGGCTGAATATAAAAAAGCTAAGCTGGCCCGTGGGCCGTGGCGTAGCACGGCTTCCGGAATTGTAGCGCCATAAGCCCATAATGGTGCCAGCCGTATTTTTTTTTATCTGTTCCTCTTCTGCCGGTAATCCGGCGGCCAACCACCGTTAAACCCTAAAGCCTTCCGACACAAACCCCCCTACTAAATGTACCGCCTGCAGCTCGTCGGTCGCCGGGTGAAGCCGTCTCCGTCGCCGCATCTCTCACTCTCCTTCACGCTTCTCTCGCGCAACCTATCTTCCTCCGCCGCCTCGTCGAAGCTCCGTGATTACTACTCCTTCGAGCCTCCTCCTTCGCTCTCCCCGGAAACCCGAACCAGCCATGATAATCCACCTCCGACGAAGAAGCAGAAGCCGCGGTATCAGCCGCCATCTTCGCTAAACCAGTCCAGAAAGCCGATGCACTCTGATCTTCCTTTTGATTTCCGGTACAGCTACACGGAGAGCAGCCAGGCTGTGCGGCCAATTGGGCTCAGGGAGCCTAAGTACTCGCCATTCGGACCACGGCGGCTGGACCGGAAATGGACCGGCGTTTGCGCCCCGGCGGTGGACCCGAAAGTGAAGTCGGTCGACGAAGCGGCGGATCAGAACCTGGAAGAGGAGAGGCAGAAAAGGAGGGAAAGGATACAGGGGGAGCCACTTACCAATGCTGAGAGGAAGATTTTGGTGCAGAGCTGTCAGAGGAATAAGACCAAAAGACAAGTCAATCTGGGTATGAAGTTTTCTCTTTTATGGAGTTTTCAAACTATAACAAAGCTCTGAAATTGGTTCTTTTACCCAATTGCTACATGGAAGATTCTGAAAATCGTGTTCTTTGAAGTTTGAGAACTTGGCCATGGAATTGTCCCTTCCTTTTGTTCCTCACTAATTTTGTGGGGTGTTCTGGTGTCCATTTTTTCTGGGTTGCAGGGAGAGATGGATTCACTCACAATATGCTGAATGATATTCATAACAATTGGAGAAGTGCTGAAGCGGTTAGGATTAAGTGTCTAGGTGTTCCCACCGTTGACATGAAAAACATTTGCTCCCAGCTTGAGGTAGTAATTCCTGTTATTGATGTGATTTCGTCGAGCTGAAATGATCCTTTGCCTTTTCATGTTACTTTTGTTGGATACGAGTTCTTGCATTAGTTGGGGTTTTACATACATTGTTCTACTTGGGTGTATCGTGTCATTTGCAGGATAAAACTTTTGGGAAGATCATTCATAGACATGGTGGTCAGCTGGTTTTGTATAGAGGTCGGAACTATAATCCCAAGAAAAGGCCCGCCGTTCCGTTGATGTTGTGGAAGCCTCACGAGCCTGTATATCCTAAGCTTATCAAAACTACCATTGAAGGCCTTAGCATTGAGGAAACGAAGGAAATGAGAAAGAGGGGACTGGCTGTTCCTGCAGTTACAAGGCTTGGTATGTTTACCTTGTAATTTCGTGGAAGATAATGTTAATTGTCTATGTTTTGCAGAATCCTTTCCCTTCCTTCTCGTCTACTATAATTGAAGGCTATCGCAAGCGGTTTTTTAGCTCGTTATCCTTCCACTTACATATGGCAAAGTTGCTAATGTGCTTGTTTCAACTGCAGCCAAGAACGGTTACTATGGCAGTCTGGTACCTATGGTGAGAGATGCTTTTATTGTGAGCGACTTGGTTCGCATAGACTGCCAAGGCCTTGAAAAGAGTGACTACAAGAAAATAGGCTGCAAACTACGGGTACGACTTTCTAACCAGATTATATCCGTGCTTTGATTTTCTTGTGGAACATGAATTCTCTCCAACAGGGTCTTCTGCACTGAAGTTTTTAAGGTCTGAAAGTCTCTGCGTTACATTGAAAGGAACCCTCTATGCCGTTATGTATAATCATTTCGAGGAAACATCAATTTTACAGAACGAGAAAGGTTGTTGTGTGTAAGAGTTAGCGCAAGTGGCCACTGCCTCATTAGATTTGGATGGTCTAGTGCAGTTGGGAGTTTATATTAGGAACCGATAGCATTTGTTTATCTGTGGCTGATACAGGAATCCATGGCTTTTTTTATGTGCCCTTTCTTCTCGTAGCACATCAATGTTTGTGTTGAACACTGTTTCTGTATGATTCTATTTGATCCAACTCTTATCAACGGATTGTTGTATCTGTAGGACTTGGTTCCTTGCGTCCTGGTAACATTTGAGAAAGAACAGATCGTGGTTTGGAGAGGAAACGATTACAAGCCTCCAGAAGATGGACATGTATATAGTAGTCGGGAATTCTTCGACGATCCTGAGGGCGACATGATGACATTTCCTGAAGACGACGAACTTCGCTCAGACTAAGTGGGGAAATGATGAGCGACTACAAGGATAAAAGAAAGAGTCGGCCTTTGTTCACAGCAAAGTCATTCTGTCGTTACACTTGCATTAAGTCTAGTACCATTTTCCTCAAAAGAGGTTATAATCAGATCGCCGTAAGTGAATCGCTCGCTCTCTACAACGTATCATCTGTTGGTTTGCTGCATCACAAGTGCAAGGGCTATGGTGTGATTGTCTGCTGCGGTTAGGCTGTATTGTGTATAGTTAGATAGATAGACACTTGTCGTGAGGGGTTTACATCAGCTGTACAAGTTCATTCCAGGCGTCTGCTCTTCTCTGCTGATCATATTTGTTTGTAGCTGTGATTGGACCAGGGTCCGTCCAGCCCAAGTGTCTGTCGGCTGGGTTGTGGTTAGGCCGAAACTGGGTCTGATCCGTTCCTTACGGATAAGAACCTAGTCTGAGAGGTTTTGCAAACCCATCCCCATAGTCATGGGTAATACCCGCTTTATATAAGCAATATTATTATATCTAAAGTTCAACATATATGTTTTTAATTATAACACAAAACATACATAATAAATAGCGGAAATCAACATAGTTGTATTATTTCTTAATAGGAAAAAACATTCAATCCTAAAGTATTGATTAATTAGTAAAATAAAATGAAAATATAATACTATATCAAATCATTCATATTTGAATCTAACACATCTACAGAGTAAATAGCTAACATAAACTTGTCAACTAGACAAAAATCTCTTTTGCTTCTAAAAGATTAATAGTCTACTACACAACCAATTATTAAAACACACACTAAGTTGTACCAATATGCATCAAAATAATTCAAATGTAAAAAATGATATACAATGACCTATTACTATCTCATCAACAATTTTGATAAGGTGGTCATCTTCAAGATGATTCAGGAGTCAGGAGAGGAAAGGCGGCGACATTGTGAAATTGAGAAAGTAAACTGTAGCCGGGTGAGAGGGTTGAACATTTCAAGGGTTTTGATAAATATAATTATCTTATTGATTACCTTCATGCTAATAATAATTTATAAATATATATTTGTAGTTTTTTTACGTATAGCAAAATAACTTGATGGGGCGGGTTTGGGTATGGGTATGGGGCGGGGACGCTAAAACCATACTCGTACAATATCTATCAAGTTCTTTGCAGGTTTTACCCATACTCGCCCCATACACAGTCAATGCGGGAATTCCCCATGTTGACTAGCCTCATATTTTAGACAAAAAGGAATACCAAAATGGGAAGCAACATCTTTTAGTTTAGACACTGATAGTGATCAGGGAAGTTTGGTAATCAAATGGTTAGGGTTTGGATATATTATGTATGGGGAAAGGTTTCGTGCGATGAAGACTTTACATGGAAGTTGGTAAGGGTTTGGTAATATTTTCATGATTTACGGATACGACTTTCTCATGGAAAAAATATTTTTGCTATGAAAATTAAAAAAGAAAGTTAATTGTAGGGTTGGTCACTGAGATTACAAAAAAGTTCACGTTTGGTCACTCGAATTATTTAAATCCATTGGTGGTACTTCAGTAAACTAAAGTACCACCAATGGATTTAAACATTTCGAGTGACCAAATTTGAATTTTGGTAATCTCAGTGACCATCCATACAATTAACCCAAATTGAAAATGATTACTTTTACAGAAAGTAAAAGCACATCAGACCTAAATCTTTTTCTTCTGATTCTGCAGCCTTCATTGATGGTCAAACACTTGAGGGTAGACCTGTTTTCTTCTTCTTGCACCCAGCCAGGTGCCAGCAGCCCCATTCTTCTTCCAGCTTCTGCTGTGAAATTGTGATTCAAACCTCCATTTGGACTTTGGAGTTCTCCTCATTTTTGAAAGAAAGAAAAAAAAATGGTCACAAATTGGGTCCATGATGAAGAGAAGTTAAGGACATGAGTAGTGATGAGTAGATCAAATCATCACGTTTACTTTCTTGCTGGCTCACACTGTCTATGATCCCACACACTCATACTAGAAGTAATCATTTATACACGCACAAGCACAGTTCATTAAGTCAGAGCTGGAGGACTTGCAAATTATGGGGGGAAAAACCCCAGAGTTGAGATCTAAACACTTAAAAATTCTTTTCTTTGTTATTAATTATTGCCATGAGCAACTAGTTCTTTTCTCTTTTACTATTGCCATACTTTCGGTGGTGAACCCAAACAACTTATGTAGCAATGTCCTCTTTCAAAAATTAAATTAAAATAAGTAGATATTTAAATAATACTTAAATAAAAATATATCTTACTGGTAACAATTATAAAGGACTAGAAAACTGTATCGTACAGTCGATTGAACCTCAAAATATCGGTACCGAAACAAAATCTGGAATGATAAAAGTGGAAGTGGTAAAGAATCGTGTCGGCCGGTATTTAAAGGTTGAACCTATGAACCTCAGTATTCCAGCCAGTTTCAATCATATCAAAGAAGCTCGAAAAAATTAAAAAAAAGTCTCTAACATCAAAGCAACATGAAGGGTTTGTTATTCCTGAACATGCCTCGAAAGTCTATAAGTTAAACAAATCATTGTATGGTTTAAAACATGAACCAAAACAGTGGCATAAGAAGTTTGACAATTTGGTTCTCTCACATTGCTTTAAGGTGAATGAAAGTGACAAGTGTATTTACTAAAAATCAGAAAATAACACTTGCACTACCATATGTTTGTACGTAGATGACATGTTGATATTTGGTACAAATATTCACATGGTCAATAAAGCAAAAACCATGTCGGGAGAGAATTTTGAGGTGAAAGATCTGGGTGAATCTAAGTTTATGCTTGGAATCCAAATAAATAGAACATCAAATGGTTTTTCTTTAGATCAATCTGCTATATAAAGAAGAACTTGACGAAATATAAGTATTTTGACTATAAACCTGCTTTTACTCCGTGTGATGCTAGTATAAAGCTATTCAAGAACGTCGGAGATAGTGTAAGACAATCTGAACATGCTAACATCATTGACAGTCTCAAATCTCAATTATGCGGTGGATTACACTCCCCAGACATTGCATATGTCGTGGGATTGCTTGGCAGGTTTAATAGTTGTCCTAGTAAAGAGCATTGGAATGCTATAGAGAGCGTTATGAGATACCTCAAGAGATAAGCAACCTTGGTATACACTATCAAAGGTTTCCTGCTGTACTAGAAAGGTATAGTGATGTGGATTGGATTACCCTTTCAGACGACTCCAAGGCAACCAGTGGATATATTTTTAACATCAGTGGAGGAGTTGTGTCTTGGAAGTCTAACAAAAAATCAATCCTATTACAATCATCAATTGAATAAGAGATGATAGCACTAGCAACGACTATTGAAGAAGCGAGTTGGTTGAGAGGATTATTGTCAGAGATGCCCTTATTGAAAAGATCGGTCCCTTCAATATTGATCCATTGTGATAGTACACAACTATCGCTAAATTTCAGAACAAGTTCTACAACGAAAAGAGACAACAAATTCTTCGTAAGAACAATATTGTAAGAGAACTCCTAACGATAGGAGTAGTGAGAGTGGATCATGTCAAATCAGAATAAAATCTAGCTAATCCTTTGACGAAGGACTAGCTAGAGAGAAAGTCCAAAATACCGCAATGGTATGGGAATTATGTCTATCGAACCAATAACTACAAGTGATGTTAACTGGACCCGATTGACAGGAAATCCCAAGAAATGGGTTTTATGGGTGATAACAAGTAGTTAGTAGCATGTGAAAAATTCATGCATAGTGAAGCATGAATTCCAAAGCAATGGAGGTTGAGTTAAAATCTTAATAAGATCTATACCTTATATGGGGCAAAGTACTTTACTTTGAGGTACTTCTGATAGACTCACCTATGTGAATGTGGGAGTGGTATCGCTTTCTATGAAACTTTGGAGGCACAAAGTTGCTAGAGCGTTCACTAAAAACTGTGATAACTTGCAAGGCCATAAACGCACGACCTATGAGTGAATATCACTCAATGAAAAGATTATGTATGCTACACTGTCTGAGATAGAGTTCAAGACTAAGAGTCACTCTTAGGAAATAAGAAGTGTAACCACTACGCTTAGGTTCAACTCGAGAGATACCTTAGTTTATGCCCGATCTTATGGATCTGTTGATGCTAAGAGATAGTTTCAAAACTATTCAAGTGGGTGATTGTTGAAAATGAAGATGAATAACTTTGAAAGTTATAAGCCACAAGGAAAGAGTATCACATTGGTGGAGAACTTCTACCAAAGAGTTATAAAGATTGGGTTCTCTCACCTAAGGGCATGACCCTTGGGGTGACCCACTTGTGAGAGAGGTAGAAACTAATGGACCACCCCTTGCGAGCACCGTCCGACCGACCGGTTGGTTGGGTGGGGGGGGCCGGCTTGAGAGATAAATTATAAACTTAATTATTCTTTATCCTTAACAAAAAGGATAATTAAAATGAAAAAGAATATTTGAGAGATAATTCCTTGCCAGACACATTTTAATAAATGTGATATTTATCTATTAATTAAATCGTGACTTATTCCCTACGAAAGAGAAATATTATGTGGGTCTCAACTCCTATAAAATAGCCGACCCCTCAGAACCTCTAACACACCTTCGAAGACTAGAAACACTAGAGAGAGAGTTTAGAGAGCTCCGGTTTTTGCAAAAAATCAACGAACAACCACTCTGACCGTTTATCCTGGAGGCAACTAGGTTGATAGTTTGTTGTGCGCAACAAATGGCAGTGTTGAAAACGTATTAAAATTAGCGACCTAGTCCGCGATTCAGGCAGATTCGATAACACTTATTTTAATTGTTCTATTACAAATCATTTTTAGTTAAGTGCTAATTAAGAGATTGAATGATATATGTGTATTAAACGCATGCTCAATCCCCACGCGTTTAAAGAGTGCGAATGGGGCTATAGGATATGACACCAATCCGCTTTCACTGATATGTTTGAGCTGAAGGACTCTGGTACGAGTTTTGAATTGGTAAAAAGGGTGATGGAGAAGGCTGATGACACGAGATTTGCTGGTTGGTGCACTTTACTTTGGTTCCTATGGAAGGAGAGGAATGCACATCTCTTCAATGGATACAAACTGGCGGAGGGGGATATTGCGGGCAACTCTTCTTCTCACAGTACCAATAGCACCAGGGGCAAGAGGATAACGTTCGAATGGTGGAAAGAGTGGAAACAATGGGGGAGACCATTGTAAACCGATTGTCTGTCCCTTGTTCAGAAGTTGCACAGCTCGACGACCCTACGTCGGAAACTGGGGTGGTGTGTAGCGACGCCCAGCGCCTATTTTCGGCTTGTATGGCACACATCATGGCTCATACTGAAACGCGTTGGGATGAAAGTGTAATCTGGTTTGATAGACCTCCGATCTTTTTGGTTGATCAGATTCAGCTCGATCATGTATCAGTGACAATGACTTCTGATAAATAAAGCTTAAGCATATTTCCGTTAAAAAAAAAACTTTCTTTCGTAACCTTCTCTCCCAAGTTGTTGGGCTAATTTCGTAATTGTACAAACAGAAAGGGATACGGG